GCCCATATTTAAGGAAGAACTACAAAATATTAATTTGACAATGAAGAATAAAGCTAGATGCATCGACACAGGTGATGTGACAATGAATTGTCAAACCAATTTTGAAATTGAAAGTTTTGACAATAAACTGTCAAACCAATTTTGAAATTGAAAATTTTGAATGAAAAATTATTAAAATTGGTAAAAATTGTTGAAGACGCATAATATAGTAACCTCCGATTGACGTCGTATAAGAAAATACATAAAAATCTACCTATATTTGAAAAAAAAAAAAACAAATATTTTAAAATGCTTGGCATGTCAATATTCTCAACTCTGGAAGGGACATAAAAGAAAAAAATTATAATCGTATGATAACATGAGATTACCTTGGTAATTGTACCATGTTATAAAAGCTTGATGGGAAGCGAATTCAACCGCTATGATATTTTTTTTCCTATTCAATGGATTATTATTCCGACTTTTATTAGAGTCCTTTTTAATTGTCAATGTTGTATTGCGTTGATACGTCATTTGCCATATGTAGTGCAAATGTCAATGAATTAAAAACAAATTTGTTGGATTAAAAATGCAAATTTCAGAAACATTGTTTAAGTTTTTCCTGCCTGGTAAACACACGCCTGGGAAAACTGCTTTCCACCCGTGGAATTGTAAAAGGCAACGAAAACTGTGAAAAATGATTATTCATCAACGGAATGTGAATATAAAATGGATATTCCAATTACGTTAATAAAATATGTAGTATATTAATCACATGCCATAACATTCTAATTTATGAAATAAAATTCTATATAGTTTTTATTGCAAAGCTATTGTTTGTGAACAAAATTTTCAACTAAATATGGCATATATTATTAGAGAGCTTTCGCAATTCCAAACCTAAATTAAGTAATAAATAATTCATTTTTCATTAATCATGATAGGATCTAATTAATAGGCATGGGACAATAACCAATGCAAACGTACTATTGTATGTAATAATAATAATCAACCACCCCCAATGTGAAAAACAAAAAACAATTACACCCAAGAAAAATTGTTAATATATTCCATAATTTCTTAAGTAATATGAATTTCAAAGTTATTAACATTTCGTGGTTTTATTAGACATTATTAAACGTAAAAGACATTTAGCATAAACGTTTATTTAGCTGTCATCAAAATATTTCATATTTAAATGCCATATCGCAAAACTAGTTGAACACTGTGAACCCACCTAATGATTTCTATTAGAACTTGATAAATGAGAGATTAAATGATCTTGCGTATGTGTGCTTTTTGTTTTGTTTTTTTTTTTCTTCTTATTTTAATATTATTCATTTTAATGACATTTGCCACTGTTTTGTACGTTTGTGTGTATATTCCTAGTACTTGATCTAGTGTTGTGTTATGGGGTGGTGTAGTATTTAAAAGTCACGAGATAATTTACGAACGTTTACACAGTATATGTACAATATAGAAAATAAGCGACATGATGTCTGCCATGAACACTAAAAAACGACAACAACAACTAGGGAGCAATACACATCAAGACAATAGCAATGATGGTATCAGCAGCAGCAGTGGAATAAGCGTTTCGGTAGTGTGAAGAACTTGTCGGCGGCGGCAGCAGCATGCGACGTTTGATGTTTGCGTTATTTCATAGAGCGCTCGCAATGTGTTATTCGCATTGCTGCTGCATTGTCATTTGGTCTATGGCACATGTGTATTTTGTTGTTGTTGTTGCTGCTATTACAACAACAGCATGCATGCCAACGATTGTCGTCAATGTGAATGTGAATGCAACTATGTAATGTTTTAAAACGAAATGGATGATGCATTTTTTTCTGTTATTCATTCAATTCATTGTTTTGACTGTGTTCTAAATACAACTACTCGTTAAAATCTATAACAAAACAATTGAATTGAAAGAAGAACAACAAATAAATAGACGAGCAACTTGTAGTTTGTATTTGGTTCGTTTGCACAATAAAAAAATGCGCAGATTAATTGAATATGTTAATCATTTGTTATTGCTCTCGTTTTACCGCTCGCTACTCTGTCTCTCTCTCCTCTCTCACTTTGTGTGAATTTATTACCTCTTTAACGGTCATCTCTCTGTAAATCACATGAAACACATGGTAGTTGGTGCTTAAAGATTTTTGGGGGCTTGTCAACAGGCCAGTCACTATAATTCATCATTGAATAAACACAAAAAAACACACACGCACCCATTGTTCTCAAAACAAAAAATGTTTTATAGTGCAATGTTTTATATCATACATTTGATTTTTTACTACAAATTTATTTTACTAATGAAAAGCATGTGTTCTTTGCTTTTTTCGCTCTAAAACAGAATTACAAACATATATGCTAAAGTACATAGTTGTATATGTTAGGAGTTCATAATATTGCTGAAATACAATTTTAATTAAATTGCTTCGTATTATTTTTTAGTAACTCTCAATTGGCGGCTTAGTAAATATTACATAAATATTGATGCAAAGATTTGACAGTAGTGGGAAATAACAACTAAGCGAAAAATAAAACGAAATGTCATTATAGAATTTAAAACAAAGAGACTTCAAGAGAATTCTTTTCATGCAGAACACACATATACTCTCTACTTCCTATAGAAATCTATACAGCATCTTCAGATTTATTGTCTAAAACAAAATTAAAATTTAAACGCATTACAAATTATTATAGAGGTGTAAAATAACACATATATTTTATTGATTTTAAATCAAAATTAATACGATTATGGACGGGCAACAGTTAATCACAAACACATTTAAATTTGCTTAGCTTGTTAGCTAGTATGTACCCCACTTCATTTGCATGTGTATATCGGTAACGCATTTAATTAAAGTTGCTTAGCTGGATAGATAGTATGTACCCCACTTCATTAGCATGTGCTTATCGGTAAATTCATGTCGCTAAAACAATGTTCACATTATGTTATTGCATAGTGATAAGTGATATATTGCCCTTATCTTTGATTTGATAGGTAAACGAATGCTATTTAAGTCAATCACTTAACTGCTTTAAAATCACCTAGTTTGGGTATAAATATCAATTAATTTGCAAATTTACAAGAATTGTGTGAATGTTGGAATCCAAATAAAAAGTCACTATAACTATGTTTACACACAATTTAATAATGTTTTACTGTTTTTTGTCGTATAAAATTCCGATGGAAATGTCAATAGTTCTGTTTTTATACCCTCCACCATAGTATGGGGGGTATATTAAGTTTGTCATTCCGTTTGTGACACCTCGAAAAATACATTTTAGACCCCCACAAGAGTATTTATATCCTATGTCGATTTAGCGATGTCCGTCCGTCTGAGGAAATCACTCTAGCTTCCGAACGAAATAAAGAAGGTTGATAAAATTTTACTCAAATGTATATTATGTCTGCAGGACTTTTGGTATTGAAAATGGGCCATGTATGCCCACGTTTTGGTATAACCCCCATATAAGGGCACCTCCCGATATTCGGTCTTTTACCGACATTATTCACCGGAATTATTTTAAATTTGGTATTTGAAGTTCGTAATGGATACTACAGCCTATGGCAGAAAATTGTCTGTACAGGTCCACGTCTTATTATAGCCCTTATATAACGTTACATCCAGATATTCGATATTTTGATGATTTTTGCGACACTATTCACCGGAATTGCTTCAAATTTGGTATTTGAAGTTCGTAATGGGTACTACAGCCTATGACAGAAAGTTGTCTTTGCAGGTTTACGTCATCGTAAAGCTCCCCATATAACAGCAACTCCCGATATTCGGTATTAGGATGATTTTAGCGACATTATTCACTGGAAATGTTTCAAATTTGATATATGAAGTTCGAATAATTACGGTACCTCCCTATATCCGATACTTTGATGATTTTAGCGACATTATTCACTGATTTTTTTTTTGTTCAAGTTTCTCATTTGAATATTATAATGGCTTATGATAAAATTTGCCTCAGCAGGTCCACGTCGTCACTAACTTTTTAACATCACCTTAAAATATAAAAGCAAAACCCTGTGAGTCCTTGAACATAAAATTCAAATCTCACCGCTATGACACATATGCCATGAAAATGAGGGTTACTTGTTCAAAATTAATGCACTATTTTAAAAATATTGACAACTTAATGACTAGCGGTCCTTCTTAAATCCCATATCATCATTACTTTGTTTTTTTTTCCTTTAAACATACATAAAAAACTCTTCCGTTTCGGCTATATAAAAACAAAAAAATGAAGAAATCAATGACTCGCCAGTATTGGATGCATACAATGTCGCCATTCTTAAAAAGAAACTTTAAAATGAGAAAAAAACATTTTTTCGCTTCTTCACATCTGCTGAAAATTCACGGACTATTGACTAGGTTTACACTGCCAAACATATGAAGTTCATTATATAAAAATATACAATAACAAACAGCGAAACAACAACAACAACAAAAAGTTGCGACTGCACGGACGCACAACTTTTTTTTTATAGACACCATTTTATTTATAGAACACAATGGTGATGATGAGATAATATCGTCTGGTAGCGGTTTGGATCAATGACAAGGTGGTGTTGCTTAAAACCTCACACAGGCTAAATTTACTCTAGTGTTGTAAGAAAAAACACACTATTCTACCCGTCTGTCTGGCTGACTGGCTGGCTGTCCGTTCACAAATCGAACACATAAATTATGTGCGTTAAAAGTTCATACATAAATGCCCACATTGTGTGCCGGCGACGCCGTTGTAAAGACAACGCATAGCCAGCCGCCACCAGACACAAATTGTCCTCTCGCTTGTTCTCGAATAGCTTGTAAAATTAGCTTCATTCAAGTTTTGCGCTAGTTATTTTTAGCCTGGCGATCTTTACTTTATATGGTTGATTAAATTATTTTTAGCTCATAAAAAGAAACCGATATAGCGTTGTTTTAATTCTTTCCTTTTCTGCCGTTTTTTTGTGAATTTTTCAATAAATTGTAATTTTTATGTTTGTACCTTTGCAGATGTGTTCCCGCAACATTAAAATCTCGGTGGTGATGATGTTCCTTATCTTCGTTCCACTGTTTACAGCTTTGCCCCGCAATCACAATATGGCCAAGAGAAGTAATTTCTTTGATCTGGAATGCAAAGGCATCTACAACAAGACCATGTTCTATCGTCTGGATAAGATATGTGACGATTGTTATAACTTATTCCGTGAGACAAGTATACATAGATTATGCAAGTAAGTTGAAATAAATATTTCTTCTTAAATGAATTTCCTGGGGGGTATGTTTACATTGAAGCCCCCTTTTCACATGATGGAGTTTTCTAATATTGAAATTTTTCTTGTAATAGAAAAGTTTATTGTGTCAAAACGGGGTATATGTAAACATACCCTTACAATTTTAACTTGAAACAAAAGAAAACATTATGGTAACAAGTCAAGTCTGCAAAATTGTTGGAGTAAGAATGTCGTATGAACATGGTGTAATAATGATGGAACACCTCAGGAACAACAGCTGTTCTTTTTTTCAGGCTAAATGTCAAAATTGTTTTTAATTTTATTTATCGTTGGTATTATTATTATTTTAATAGTCATATATTTTGATAGCTACTCTGAACATCAGCTGTGTTTCATAGAGAAAATTAATTTTAGTTTTAATTGGCTGATGACTTTTAATGTCAAACTATAAATTAAGTGGCAGTCATTATTTCTTTATAATATGTAATTCTCTTAAATCATCCGCTCAGCAATTGTTAATTAAAGAAATTTTGACAGTTTTCAATCACAATAGTTTTTTTTCGTTGTTCTTACAAGTAGAAACACAAAAGATTTATTCACATTTAAATGCTGGAGTGCTCTAAAGAAAAGCTGAAAAAAAACAAGTGGCTATTTCAGTTAAATTTAAAGAAATCCCACTATCACGCTTGAATTCCAGCGCGAATAATTTTTTTCTGGATAATTCTCACCAAAATGCTTTTGTACGCTTGTAAACAATATAATGAGCTGTCACTGGAATAATTTTAACAGCTGTCGGACGAGTGGCTTAGAAATGACAGCAGTCTGAAGTTGGTTGCAGTTTTTTCATCTAACCCTGTCTTTATAGTCTCCATGGTCCCCGATTAAATTTAAAAAAAAATTACAGTTGTATATCTAATTCATCTTAATTCCATATGAATTTAAAAAAGTTAAAAGTCCACAAGTAATTGAATAAACAAATATTTATTGTTGCTGCTATTGTCTTATAATGTGTAGCCCACTTCATATCAATGTTAAGGCAAAGACATTTCATTTAGTAAAAATACAACACTGTTGTCAGCTCCGAGTGGCAAAGATGTGTTTACACGCTGAAGTCACAATTTAAGCTTTCAACTTTTTTAGCCTTTAGAGCCCAAATACATTTTTTAACCATTTTTAGAACTTAGTTTATAATTCTTGATAAAAACATGTCCAGTAAAATTGCAAATTGACCTTAATGTAAACATAGTCCATGCGGACCTACCCCAAAAATAGCACGCTGTATTTATCAATCAAAAATTGGAATACAAAATACAAAAAGGAGGGTGCCTTTCATTCGCAATAGCTCAACAATTTTGAAAACAGAACAATTGTTTCGAGGAAAAACCGTGTTAGACGATCTAAAAATACACAAACACACCCAAAACGTTTGTTTTTCATTTCTGTCTGTCATCCAAGACAATGTACCGTTGTACTATTTTAAGACTTTTCTTTTTATATTTTTGACAGACTATATATGCATGTACGAATGTAATATTCTAGTTCAAGGTAATGTACACATGGCGGCTATTTCAATGGAAATTTGCAAAAATATATTTTTTCTTTCAAACCGTGACCCACAAAAAGTCCAATCCTACGGATACTTAACGCGTCATTTGTGGTGTATGATTTTTCTCTTGCAGGCAGCATGGGAAAAAATAAATCATTTGTTGATATGAACAATATCGTAAAACTAGAAAATATTGACATTTGCAATAATAACCAAATTAAGATTTGATAATTATAATTATCGTCATGCTCAACATTTCACACCACAATTCTTATATAATATTAGAATTTTCGTTTATTAGAAAGAAAACAAAAATATGATTTCCGGTATATATTTGTCACATGTCTTGTTTATGGCTTTGACACATACTATGGGTAAACTCTTAAAGGGTTGCCAGATCATGCTACGGATGAGTTAGACCAATTCAATGAATGAATATTAACTGTTTGATGGCCAAATGTGGATGCTAGTGCCGTTATATGGGGGCAATACCAAAACGGAAACCTCTATAGACAATGTTATTCTTTAAGGATTGTAATCTACCAAATCATCTTAAATACAAAATTTGAAACATCTTCGATGGTAAATGTGACAAGGATTATCAAAATAACGAATATTCAATGTTCTGCCGTCGTAGCTAGAAACCATTATGAACTACAAACACCAATTGTTAGATAAATTCGTGGGAAAATGTGGCGAAAATTATCAAAAAACTGAATATCGGGAGGTACCGTTATACGGGGGCAATACATACAATTTTTGGCCATCGGAGCAAGAACCCATTATGACCTGTAAATACCATTTTTTATACAAATCCTTGAAAAAATGTGGCAAAAATCATCAAAAAAAACGAATATCCGGAGGTACCGTTACATGGGGCTATACCAGAACGTGGACTTATATATACTATGTTCCGCCACAGGAGCTAGAATTCATTGCAAAATATAAATAACAATTTTTAGACAAATCCGTGAAAAAATGTTCAAATACCACCAAAATACAGAATATCAGGTGGTGGTACCGTTTCATGGGAGCTATAAAAAACGTGGACCTATAAATACAATATTTCACTCCCCTCCCTTCTTTTCAAGGTGGAGGGTATAAAAATTACGAAAAGATTACCTTCTGCATTCCACATTCTGTAGACTATGGAACGCATTTTTTATGGTTGGTTTATGTTTGACATTTGTGTTTCGTTATTTCTTTTGGAGACTTCATGCCGTCTCATTTAGTTTTATCAGAAAATATTATTGATAGTACAATAAGTAGAAGTCAAAATAATATTGGTGCAAAAGAACGTATTACATGTTCCTGCCAGTCATTTCTTTTAAAATCACATAATCGTAATGTTTATGTATTACTTTCTCGATGACCATCTATTCATCTTCTCAATGGTTTATCTTTTTCAATAGTCCTCTCTGTGAGTGTGGAGAGAATTACGCTCATTTAAGTTTATCATGCCAGCTTTTGTCTCGCCCTGGTTTATTAGATGTTATTAAAGAAAAAAATGTCCTGTTGAGTTCCGCACATGTGTCCTGTTGATGTTTCGATCAGCTTCGGATGTAGCTTGTTGCTTATGTTTATCACCCTGCTGGTTTTAGCCATGTTTTCGCCCCAAATTGTCTACGATTTGGTATTTTTATTTCCTAGATGGAAGGAAATTTTCTTGCAACCGACCAATATTGGGAGTGGTTAAAGGTTCAAACCTTATTTTAATATGTATAAATGTCAATAAGTCTCATTCACAGAGAGTGGGAACATCTTTAAAGCTATTTTAATTCCCTACTCCCTTTTTTCTTTCTTGTCAAACGAAATGAGTATTAATGAGAATAATAAATCTTCACATAAAATGATTTATTAATATATTACGATTATCACAACATTAATATGATATACTTAAAACAAATATATTGCAATATATACATACATATTATTACGTTATTACAGGGAAGCTATGAATTAGCTGTAATTTATTATTTACATATTTCCGTTTTCTTGTTGTTCTCTCTCTCACACTCTCTATTGGTTTTATTTGTTTGTTTAATTTAACAGGCACAAATGTTTTACACATCAAACATTTGAAGGTTGTATTAATGCCTTATTAATACCCGAAGAAGAAATCAGCCAACTGCAATATTTTATTAAAGTCATAAATGGCGCACCTTTGTCATTCGATTTTGCTTCCCTATTGGAAAATAACAATTAATTAATTTACATTATGTATATTTGAAATACACGGACTCATGTGTGACACACCTTCTACTATGAAAACAACAACAAGCAACGCTTAATGCTACATCTATAGAATGTTGTTAACTATTTTGTTTTCTTTATTTTTTGCTTATTTTATTTTAAATATGATTTGTTTATTGTTTTATTTTATTCTTTATTTTCTTTTCTTTTTTTATTTATAGGAAAGACTGTTTCGATTCAAAATGGTTTGGTGAATGTTTAAAAGTTTTGTTTATACCCTCCGAAGAAGTTTCACAATTACAAGATTTCATTAAAATTGTTAACGGTTCACCGATAAATTTCAATATGCCGCCAATTACAACATAACTGTTTTAGATCAGCACCATCACCTCCCACCAAAAACACAAAAATAGAAACACAGAAAACAACAAAAACGTTAAACATGTCTGTCTCTCTCTCTCTCTCTCTCTGTCTGACTCTCTTTAAACATTGTTATAAACCAACATCCGGTTTGTCTTTCAACTCTAGGCAATGATTTAAATTATCCAACCAGAAAATGAAGAAAATCATCACCAAAATCAAAAAAAAAAAACAAAAAGAAAATCCCTCAAATCCACCTTAAAATTTTATTGAAATTGAATACAAAAAACTATTAAATGAAAATGAAAAAAGAAAAAGAAGCATAAAAGAATATTTTGTACTTATTTATTTTATTTTCGTAAATGTATTAATTACTATTATTATGATTAATTTTTATTATTTATTATTATAAATAATTATAATTTAATTTATTCTTAAGTTGCATTTGTTTTGTAAGAAAGTGAGGAAAAGAAACAAAAAAATATTCGAATTAGCTTGTCTAATATTGTTGGTTTTTGTGTATATTATTATTATTTTTTACAATAATTTGCACAGCAATTTTAAACAAGGGTTTTCGTCTATAAACTATTATTTATTTTTTCTACTCGTTTTTTATTATTTTCTGTAATTTTAAATTAAAAACAACAACAAAAAAATGATGTTTTTAGAAACATAGAAATACACCCATACCCATAAAACGAACAAAGTATTTTAGCAACGTTTTGTATTTATAGCTCATACACAACACATACACTTACACCTACATATAAACTTATATTAAATTCGAAATCAATTCTATCCTTGTTCTTGTTTTGCAAATTACAAAAAAATCGAAAGAAAGAAAAAAAACAATCTCCTTGCTATTTTGTCTTTACTTTCTGTTGGCATTTGAACATTTTAAATGTTACAAATGTGACAAAATACATAAAAGGAAATTGAAAAACAATACCTATTAGATACTTGTAAAATAACATAAAAACATATGAATTATTTATACAAATATCCTGCATCTCCTATTAAAAATCAAAAATCCAAAAAAAAAGAAAGAAAGAAAGTGTAACGTTTAAATTTGCTGGCAAATCTTAATTATTATGATGTATGTACGTATTTTAATTAAACACACACACATATATATACATATAAATATTAAACAAAACAAAACATAAAAAAGAACTATTGAAAAATATTGTGATAGAACACGTTAAAAACACTCCTCTTTATACATAATTACACACAACTATTGTATTTTGTGAAGAAACAAACAATAACAAACAAACAAAAGAAAAAAAAAAACAAAATAAAAAAAATCGAAAACTTATCTATAAACTTTGCTATGAATCCTTGTATATTCTATGAGATTGCTGCAGATTAATGGAATCGCTTCTGCAAGAAGCTGTTTCCTCCGCACCCAACGTACCTCTCTATCCTGACTCTATTTAGTTCTCAATAGAGTATAAAAGGAAGAATATACGCCGACAAAAAATACCGAATCGTATTTTCTGCCCCCTCTCAACCAATTCAATTGATGTAGACCTAAAGTTGGTCATTCTGGGGACTATTAATTTCTAATTTGTTCGGTATGTTCCTTATGATTTTCTTTTTATTTATAATTAACACAAAATAATTTATCTTTATTTAAAATGAGCTTTTGTTGCAATATTTTGAATTTTGTAAAGGGCAACTGCAAGCATATTTTGAAAACGTGATTTTTGAAATATTTTTTGGGACAATTAAGTTGCTGAATTTCTGTTAGGAGTAAAAGTGAGAATACATAGTTTTATGTATTCTCACCTTTACTCCTAACAGAAACTTTCTGACTGGCTTAAGTCATCGGCTGGCTTCTTCGTAGAGGAACAACGAAGTTTTAGGTTGACTCAGTTCGATTTTGACCCTGTGCTCCTTTGTTTTTTTCCGAAAAAGCCAGCCGATGACTTAAGCCAGTCAAATAAGCGTTTTATGTATCCTCACCTTAACAATTGTCAAAATTATATATTTCATATTCCTCGATTACTGGTAATGAGTTTCGATAACTACAAGTTTCAGTTTTTTTTTTAACGAAATTTTCCAATAAAAAAGAAACCGGCCATTGCAGAATGAACGCATGACGCCTTATTGATATAACAACAATTACAGTGAGACGGCTTTATCGACTCTGAAATGTTCTTATCGGTAACTACAAGGTTCGTTTTTGTACGAAATTAATCGATAAGTGATTGACGAAAATAAAACAGTCTGTAACGGCCATAGTAGAATGAACGCATGACGCGACAACTACAAGTTTCAGTTTTTTACGAAATTTTCCGATAAAAAAGAAACCGGCCATAGCAGAATGAACGAATGACGATTTTTTTATTGAAAACAGCATGTGGAGTTAATTCTGCTGTGGTCTCAAATCAACATTTGCACGTTGTTACATCGATTACGTCAATGACGTTTTAGAACATGACGAAATTTGTCGATAAATTAGCAACGAAAATAAAACAATATCTAACAGCCATAACAGAATGAAGGCATGACGCGTTGTCGTTGTATCGACAATTAAAGGGAGATAGTTTCATCGACTCTGCAATTCCCTTTGTAGTTGTTTTTTTTTTTTTTTTGTTTTTATTGGAAAACAGCATGGCGAGTTCATTTTGCTGTGGTCTTAAATCAACATTTAGACCGTTGTTACATCGATTACGTCGATGTCGAAAATTTCAAAATGCACACCGAAACGGTCTTTAAATGTCATAGCAAAATGAACGCATGACGCGTTGTCCTTATATCGACAATTACAGGGAGACGGCTTAATCGACTCTGCAATTCTCTTGGTGGTGTTTTTTTTTTTTATCGGAAAATATCATTCTGCTCTGGTCTCAAATCAACCTTTTGGGGCGTTGTTACATCGTTCACGTTGATGTCGCAAAATTTCAAAATACATACCGAAACTGACCTATTTTTGACGTTTAGACAATGACAGAAAGAATGATCTACGCTTTATATCAAGCACGCGCCATCGATAAAAGAGCAAGCGAAGACGATGGATTTATCGATGACTTGTGGGAAGAGATAACAAGCTTGGGATCATTGATATGTCAAATTTTTTTATTTGTTTCTTCAAAAATATGTTTTCTTATACGACACAAATTGGAACTTGTTATGAAATGAATTTTCAACAATTTTTACAAATTTGAATAATTTTTCATTCAAAATTTTCAGTTTCAAAATTGGTTTGACAGTTCTAGCATGGCGTATACGTCACGTAAATCGTATTCTTATCACAATAAATCAAATATATGTTTTCTGTATTCAAAGGTATTGTGATTTGCTAATTATTCTATAGAATCCCAAAAAATCAAAATCTGAACAAACATCATGGTAGAAGAATGCAAGTAGTCGCATCGACACAGCTGCTAGGGCAATGAACTGCCAAACCAATTTTGGAATTAAAAATGTTGAATGAAAAATAATTGCAATTTGTAAAAAATGTTGAAAATGCATATCAGAACAACCTCTGATTTGCGTCGTAAAGAAAACATAGATATCTACTTATTTTTGACAAAACATTTTACAAATTTTGGCACATTGACGTTCCCAAGCGTTGATGAATCTACATGTATTCTTCTACCATGAGAAACATGTTACAGGACTTAACTTGGACGCTGTAAAAAACTTCAACCAATAATAACATAACCCATGGTAGAAGAATACACGTGGTCTCATCGACGCAGCTGCTGAAAACTCAAACTGTCAAATTAGTTTTTAAATTGAAAAGTTTGATTGAAAAAAATTTTAAATTTGTAAAAATTGTTGGAAAACGAATACCTCCGATTGGTATCGTATAAGAAAAACTTATACAAATCTACTTATTTTTTGAAAAAAAAAATTAATTTTTACATATCAATGTTGTCATAAAATTATTGAAAATGTGGGTCAAAACGATAATGAGTCTTGCTGCTATTTTTAACCTATTTTCCAAAAAAATATTTTGTGCGTGTTGTAAATAATTAAACTTTCAGAGTGAGTTTGAATTTTGTGAAATTGAGATATGGTGTTTATATATTAATTTTTGGGATTGAACATAAACTATAAAAACTCAATTTCATTAGTGCTCTACACCTGTATATATCAAAAAATTAAAATATTTTTCTAATGGCAAAACAAAGAGTGAACCATACCCTTTTTTTGAGTGTTCACTTGCAAATGTACATAAACCTTTAAAATCTATGAAAAACAATAAATACTAATTTGAAAAAAATACTCTCTTCTTCCATTTCTATTCTTTTACAATTTCCCACTCCCTCAACTCTCATCATGATCAGACAAGAATGCTTTGGCTCACCATTCTTCAACGCATGCATGGAAGCATTACAACTGCATCAAGAAATGGATAAGTACTCGGAATGGCGTGATACTTTGGGAAGGAAGTAAATTATTCACACACACAACCACCCACATACCACGAACTAGCGATCCTCTTCTAACTTCCCGAAAACATAATTTTACTATCTCTATTTCTTCAAAAAATGGCAACAAAACACGAAACAATAGTGAATCCTATGAAAAGTATTCAATATTAAGAAAAAAAAGAAACTACTACAAATGATTTAAATCGCATATTTGTTGTTTGTAAATTAGGTACCTAAAATAAAAAGAAAAATAAATAAAAAAAATATTTAAAAAAAAAAATAAACGTAACTGAGAAATTATATTTTCAATGATGGGATTTATGGAAACATAACAAAGGTTATAGGATATTTTAATTTTCGTGTTCATTTGATTTGATTTTATTTTTTTGGTGTTCTAAAACCCGTTATTCAATACAAACATTCTTAAACAAAACATTCTGCTAAACTACATTACTACAAAGATAAAGTATTAAAACAAATGATGTCTGATGTAAATAAGTTCAAATAAATATATAATTGTATATTATTCTATAAATTCATTTCTTATAACTAATAATTTTTTTATTGTATAAAAATGATACATTTTAAATTTTACTCTTAGCTTAGATTTATATATTTTTTTAAATGTATTCACTTGCACATAATTAATTATTATCTTCTTGTTTTCGTATAAGAGTTATTTTGTGCGATTTAAGTTAATTCTTAACAAAAAACTATTTTTTATTATTTTTGTATAATTTTTAAAACTTCTTCGGATCTAGTCGTATAAATAAAGATTGTTTAATTCAATGAATAAAGAAGAAAATTGTTTTATTGTGTGAAATGAATTTTGGAATGTGAAAGATAAAGGTACGTTTACATGCAGTCACAATAATTGACAAACATGGGTTTCTGTTAAACTAATGAGAGCGAACCGTCAAACTCTCTGTGAGAGAACTTGGCATTTGACTCAATGCAAAATAGTATAAGTATTGACTTATTATTTATGGGGGGGTGCCGGAGCAGTTGACCAATATTGAACAATTCGTATTTGACCCAAAACAGATATAAATGTTACAACGTGACAGATTTGGACTACATCGACTACTCCCTGTACTTTATATGAAATATGTGAACATTTTTGGAAAATGTGGAAATATGCAGATATAGTATTCCATTTTCATACTTCATCTAAAGCTGATAAAAATGTTGTTATGTGCAAAATTTGAAGGAAATCGAACATTTATATTCAATTTTATGCGGAATCATAAATTTCGATAAATTACATATTCAATCAGATTTCTGGTTAGGACAAATATTTAGATATAGCAAGTTGTAAATAATCAGCGACTTGTTGCGCAAGTTTTGACAGATGTAAGTATTGGAAATTGGGACCCTATGTAGGTGAGGTACCAGCAGTGGTTGGCAGATGTACATCATCTTCACAACAGATCTTGTGTTTGCAAAAATTTTGGAATGTGTGAAGTTTGAAGAGAGTTGGATGTTTATCTCGCTTTCTTTGAGCGTTTTGTTTATTTAAAAATTCGACCCTTTGTGGGGGAGGTACCAGAAGGAATGGTCCGATCTCTAGCATTTTTATAACAGATCTTGGGTTGATGGAAATATTGAAATGTGCCATATCTGAATGGAATCGGATGTTAATTTCGTGTTTTATGAACTTCATGCATTTTAAAAATTTTGACCCATTGTCGGGGAGGTACCAGAAGTGGTGGACCGATATATCCCAACTTCACACCAGACCTTGGGTTAATAAAAATATTGTGATGTGTGTAATTTGAAGAGAACCGGATACCTATTTTGGATTTTGTGATCGTTTTGGTTGTTCAAAAGATTGAGCCTTTGTGGGGGAGGTAGCAGAAGCAGTGATCCGATCTCAAACATCTTTATAAAAGACCTTGTGTTGATGGAAATATCGATATTTGCCAAGTCTGAATGGAATCGGATGCTAATTTCGCGTTTTATGAGCTTCATGGTTACTCAAAAATTTGACCCTTTGTATGGGAGGTACCAGAAGGAGTGGGCCAATATATTCCATCTTCACACCAGTTAATAATAATATTGCGATGTGTGTCATTTGAAGGCAATTGGAAACATACATTACATTTTATAAGAGTTATAATTATACCAAATGTTGTCCCTTTGAGGAGGAAGTATTTGATGGAGTTGACCGATATTGTCCCTTTTCACGCCTAACCTAGAACTGATGCAAATATTAGAATATGCAAAGTTGGAGTGAAATCGGATTATTCTTTCTCTTTCTGTGCAGTAAATTATTATTATTTTTTTTTTTTTAAATGTCGACATTTTGTGGGGGAGGTGCCAGAAGGAGTGGACCGATATTGCCTATCTCCGAACTCGATCTAAGTTTGATAATAACATTACGTTAAGTTTGGATCAAATCGGATGCTCCCTTCGAGCGTTATTGTGCGCACCAGCCAGACAGACAGACGGATGGGCATCGCTAAATCGGCTGCAAATGTCCTGAAACGGATTTGGTCCAAAGGCTTCCAGGCTTAATTTGGTCGTATGTGCGAACTTCTATACTATTTCGGCTGATATTACACGTTTGGTGCACAATAAAAGGCAAATCGGACGAAGATATATAGGAGAGCTATATCTAAATGTTGACCGATTATCTGCAATTTCAATAGGGTTCATTCTTGGGTCAAACAAATGATTTGTGAAAAAATTTATCTGGATCGGGCAATAAATGCGACCTGTACTTTGTTTACAAAAATACATGGACAGACAGACGGACCTGCATTAATCGACTAAGAATGTGATTCTATGCATATAATTAAAAGGAACCATATTTTTACTCTATCTTGCCCCATCTTTATAGTTCTTTGTCTTTGCCTGTTACATACAAATGCACAAAGACATAATACCCTGACCCCACTTTGGTTCAGGCTATAAAGAGCCCTCTTGTGATTGACAAAAGATGCTTATCTTTGCCAGTAATTGATTTTAATTGTTCACTTTTATTTTGGGGGGCTAAAATATACAAAAGACAAGTTTATTTGGGCATTTATATCTAGGAAACCGAACCCAATAGTATATTACGCATAGAAATGCAGAAAACAAATAAAATGCGGTCATTTTTTCAAAGTAAAAGTGTTATCCAGTGTTTTCAGCTGATGTTCTTCTTTCTATTCCACACCGGGTGTTTGTGCTTTAGATTAAAAAACGGCGTACGCTTGTATTATACGAAACTCTCTCTTATTTACACGTATAGTGTTCGTTTGATTTTGTTGGCATGTTTCATGGGAGGCGTTGTTGTCAAATTGACCACCGAGGAGTATTACAGTGCCATGATTGGACGACTCTCGCCGATAATTACATTCGTCATGTGTTTCGAGTCTATAGTTAGTGTCTTTACCTATTTGGCTGTCACATTTGGTTTGGACAGAACGCGCAAAGAGCATCTGAAAGCCTGGAATCGTCTACAGTCTATTGATGATGAAGTGGTGAAATCCTTTCCCAATGTCAATTGGAATTACCAAAAGAATTGTCGCAAATATACGCGGTTGACGGCTTTTATCTACTCCTATTTTTCGATAATAGCGTTTGGATTTGTTTTTAATTTGGCCAACTGCAGTTGTGGCTATTTCAGCTCCTTTTTAATATCCTTTGCGTATGCCTGTATTACGGCCTCCTCGGGATTGGCATCTTTTCTATTTGCCGTACAAATGGATATGCTGCGACTTCGTTTCCGGTTGTTACACAAACTCGTTAATTTGAATTTCGTGTCATGTAGCAACGGCCAACGTAACGACACTCGGCTATTGAGGAAATTTAAAATACTCGAATACTTCTTTAAAGAGTACAATGCTTTAATACATCGTTTAAACAGAGTTTTTAATGTTGTCAGCAGTGCATCCATGTTCTACGATTTTGCAATTTTGACAAATATGGGATTTTTGGTGTGCTCCAAGGCAATTGAATCGAATACCCATTGGAAGGAATATGTTTTTATTGCATTTTTTACACTGCCGCGCATCTACAAAGTAATTATATGCAGCGTTTATGGTCACATGGCACATGCAGAGGTATAATAAAATGTTTTATCTAAAATGATGTTTTGGGCCGTTTACATTTGCAATGTTTTATTTTAAAAAACCTTAACATTATGATTTAGAGTGTCCAACAAATCACGGTAAAACGATTAATCACAATGGTGGGACTAATGTAAACGTAGTCTTACGGCTGGAAAACAAGGTAGAAGAATATAGGTAGACAAACAGCTGCTGGAACAATGAACTGTCAAAAAAATTTTGGAATTGCAAATATTGAACGAAAAATTATTTAAATTTGAAAAAATTGTTGAAAATCGCGAATTATAATGACCTCCGACGAAGTATAAGAAAACGTAAAGAAAACTTATATTTAAAAAAAAAACATTTAAAATTTTTTGACATATCAATGCATTTTCTGTAATTTACCTTGTCCAATTTTAATGCATAAAAAACTGTTTCCATCTCTGATTTTGTGTGTATACAATGGATTTATAAATATAGATTTTGAAAATGACATGCTGTCAAATGTGTGAATTTGAATAAATTGTTAACATATGATTACATGACTTTACCTTCTTAGTTCTACCATTTATATATATAAAACTAGTTTGACAATTCATTGTCTCAGCAGCTGTGTCGTTGCGACTACCTGTTCCTTCTACCATGGAAAACATTATTTAAAAAAAATGTTAATTTTCAACTTTATTTTATTTATTTAATAGAGAAAAAATTGCTGGCAAGAATTTGTTCGCATAGAAAACTATTTCAACAAATCGTTTGTTATTCGTGACGATGTGGAGTGTTTTTTTCATTGGCGAATGCATAACAATTACAATTTTACCGTGGGCAAAACAATTCGTTTTAATTTGGGTTTATTGTTTATGGTATGGTTGATCCGGTATTTATTTACAATTGACATTTATAATATCTTCATATATTTCAGATATTCAACAGTATTGCCAATTATATTATTGTTTTGATACAACTACAGTTTCAGCAGAATATGATACGGAGAACATTGTATGGTGCTCCAAGTGGCGATATTGAAATGATAGAAATGTAAATGGTACGATATTATCATGGTAAAATTAAGGAGGTAAAGTCATTTCAACTAAGAATATCCATTTCTGCATTTTCTGTAATCTACCTTTCACTGAGGTTTCCATGGTACAATGAAATTGTGATCTTAATTTTTTTTATTTTCTTGGCTTAATATGCCAACTTCATTTGTTTATGTGTGTGTATTCTTTTTATGATTTTTGCAACGTATGCATCTACAAAATCGTCGGGTTTTGTAACGAAATAAACTATTTGAGACATATACAACATGATTGTGAGAAGAAATTTTGACCTTTAAATTTGAAAAAATTGTAAACATATGATTACATGACTTTACCTTCTTAGTTCTACCATGGTTCCATCTCTGATTTCCGTGTATACAATGGATTTATAAAAATAAAATGAGATGTTGTCAAACGAAAAATTTTGAAAAAAAATTGTATGACTTTACCTTCTTAATTATACCACGGATATTATATTTAAAAATAAAAAATACAGTTTTTATTATGTTATTATAGTTATTTATTTAAAATATTCCATGCATGCTCTGCAACAAGCATTGATTGATCACAAACCAAATAAACCTTCATTCTCCAAACATTCGAACTCGTGGCAAAGAAGCGTACCTCAGATGAGATATAAAACAAAATTTCTCTTGCTGAAATGTTTACACATCGTTCAATATATTCAGTCATGATTTTCCGTTCTTTTGAATTTTTTTTTTTAGAATTTAATGATTTTTTCACATTTGCAGCTTGGGAGAGTGATTTAAATTGAATTAAACAAAGAGCATAATAAAGAGACGAATAATAGAGAGCGAATCATGAACCATGTGAACATGGTATAAGGACGATAATTAGCCACCACTATACATTTGATTGTAAGAACAAACTTTTCACCTTCATCTTTGTTGAATATTTAAACTTAAAAACAACGTTTGTTTATGAGTGGAGAACGATGGTAATGTTTACCAGGGGGTAAGGCAGGGAATACCTAGGTTTCGGAAAGAGCCACCAATCCTCATCAGTTCCCTTGTTTCTTGTCTGGGATATTCTCCCCAGAAGTTATTTTAAAAAATAACTTCTATGACAAAAAACATTTCTTACCCAAGTGACGAGATCGTAAGCTCAATAGAAGAGGAACCAAAGAATTACATAAAACTAAAATTCTTTTGGAAAATCTTCTAAATCTTACAACCGCACTTATAAACATTTACATCTTTCTCCACTTGTTATGCTTTCGTTCAACCTGAACGAAGTAACATAACCATGTAAGTTTGTTTTGTCTGTTACAACAAAAACCCCTTCGTCGACCGTGCCTGTGTCTATTAATAGAAACAACAATAATGGGATTTTGCCTGACGATTTTGCAACAACAAAATACTATGGTATCCCAAACAAGCAAGCCAAACACTGTTCTATTTAAATTTAATAATGAATTAGAAATTTGATTAGTTTGAATATAAATGTATATTTTTTCTGAGTGCAAAAAATGTTATACTGTTGTAAACTACAATTGGGTTTAAACAGTACAATGCATCACTGAAACATTGTATACTAGTTCCGCGATTCATTTCAATGAATTTCCCAGCTGATTGCATCGTCCTCATGTCTCATTCGTAAACAACTGAGGTACTCGGGGATTTTGCTTTCCGTACATTTTTTATCGGAGATTTTGTTTTGCTTGCCTATTTGTTTTCTTTGGAACGTCTTTAATTTTAGTAGTTTTGGACATACGGGACCATCGTCCAAACAAACATCCACAATCTTCTGTCCAGGAGGGCATTCTTCTCAAATTATCCACAAAAAAACGCGCAACATTCAAAATTAATAAAAATCGGTGGCAATTGAGTGCCCAAACCAGAGGCTACCAAACAACTAACAGGCTTACGACTGGGATCCCCGAAACATGTTAGTGCAAGAAGAATCCATCTCATCAAGTCCCTCCACCTCGAATAAATCTATACGCAACGTTCGAACGATAAGGAAGAATAAAAGAAATTCCAAAACTGTAGAAACAGTCGCAAGCAACAAAAACAATGAAGATACTCTGCGATTTTTGTATTATGAGTCGGACGAGGAGGAAGATTTGAATAAAACCTTTGTGGTCACATCGTCTCGAGTACCAGATTATGAGCCTTTTGAAATGGAAACAATGTTGATGCTAGCTGATCGAGAATCTTCTAAGAACATACCCAGAAACACCGATGTACCACAACAGCACGAAGAGTTTCAAACATGTCAGAGGCTTGTGGAAACTGAGTTAAATGATGAGGACATGGCAGGCAGGGACAATGATAAATCATTTTTCATTACCGAATCAGAATTATTAAACTGCTGCATTGAGGCAGATCAACTGGAAATATCTACCCCCACAAAGAGTTTACGTTTGGTTAACTCTATACTTGAAGACTTTGCCATGTCGCCTTTTACCAAAAAGTCATTGGAGACCAGTGCGCGGAATTTGGAGTATAGTCCACAGTTTATACTTAGGCAAATGCCTGAAAAAACATATTGCCGTAGGAAAAGGCAAAAGAAAGATTTGAACAGACGCCTAGAGTTTTCAGAATCACCCAAGCCTGCAGACGACAAAGAAGACGATCGTTTAAGTAATGGTAGTTCTGTTATATCAATGCAAGAAATAAGTCAAAGGGAGGATGAAGATTTGTTGGATACCACAACTGCTCCTGACTTATCTAATAGATTGAGTGAAAATCTTCTAGATCTGACCACATTTTTTACACAAGATAATCCACAAGTGGAACCAGATCTTTCAACAAATGTTAACAGGGTGTCTTATCTATTAGAAGATATTGAATGTATGAAACAATTTTCGAATAGGAGGCATCATTTGCATTCCTATAATTCCGATGAAGATTTTATGGGCTTTGCGAGGGTAACGGATGATGAAAATGAAACATCATTACCCAATGATGTCCACGAAGACGACCAAATGAATGAAACGCTTATAAGTCCACAAAAACTACAAATATCGCACCAGCATGACCAGGAAATGAATGTATATTTTGAAGGTAAAGAGGGATATTTTTTTATATATTCGAAATTAAATGTAAATTGGGTCTTGTTAATTTCAGATGACCATGAAATTGGATCAAGGAAACAAAGTAAGAATTTAATTTTAGCTAATTTTATTTTATTTATTTAAATGCTGGAATTATTGTTTACAGCAACATCAAGAAATAATTATCAAGAAAATTGGTATGATGATTCTTCCGATCTTTTGGCAATGATTAAAACTCAGGAAGTTTTATATCAGCAGAATAAACATCAAATATTTGAAGTTGCCACCCATGCTTTATCTAGAGAAAGTAGTAATTCCAATAAACAATTTAATAAAGTGAACATGGGTTTCCAAACAGCTTCTGCCAAACCCATACATATTTCAAAGGAAGCTGAAATAAAAGCATTAGAAATTTTCAAAAATTTACCAGAACTTGAAGCAGTAAATGAAAAAAGAAGTAACACATCACCAAAGAAAAGGCTAAATGATATTAAATGTGGATTCCAAACGGCTTCCGCTAAACCCATACATATCTCAAAAGAGGCTGAAATGAAAGCATTTGAAATGTGCAAAAATTTGCCAGAATTAGGCTCCATTGAAGGTGTGTCATCTCAACAAAATGTTGCAAACAAACGAAACTGTGATAGAAACCCAAGGATTTCAGAAAATTATACATCAGCAGAGCCTCTGAAAACGAGAAATATGTGTACAGAAAACGACCAACCTTCAACGTCTAAAGCAGCTGCTAAAATGGCTTTGTTGCCGTCGAATATTAAAGAAAATAATGAAATTAACGTCGAGCAAGATAAACAAATTGAAGATTATTGGGAGAATGAGGCCGATTTGGCCGATGTGATATTTAGTGAATGGCCTTTGGAGGAATTGTTGGAAGGAAAATCATCCGCGACTAAAAATACCAAAGAAAAATGTCACCCATTGAAAGATCAAAACAATGCAGGGTGTTTTCAAACTGCAAGAGGCAAGAAAATCTCAGTATCAACTAAAGCTCAGGGTGCTGTTGCTCAACTTCTTAAGGAATTTTCAAATGAAACAGATCAAAGTTCTCCCGAACAAGATCTACTCAACTTGAAAAATAAAATATTAAGCAAAAACCACAAATTAACGACTAGCAACCAACAAGAAAGTAATATTAAACCAAATACTAATTTGCAAGGCTTTCAAACGGCTGGTGGCAAAGGCATTAAAATCTCCAAGAAAGCTGAAAGTTCTGTGGCAAATCTCTTGCAGGAATTTCAAGCAGATTTTAACTCTAATAATTTAGAACAAAATCTGGTTGAAATGAAAAGTAAACGAAAAGATTTAATTAAGACGAATACCAAGGAAAACAACTCATCTGCAGAAATAAATGAAGGTTTTCAAACTGCCGGTGGTAAGAAATTAATAATATCTGAAAAAGCTAAAAATTCTGTTGCCAATCTTTTATTGGAATTTCAGTGTAAAAATGATATAAATTCTTGCGAACAAGATCTTGCAGAATTGAAAGAGAAAATTCACCATAAAAAGAATCAACTTAAGACCAAAGATAACATATCTACAAATGAAGACACCAATTTACATGGAGATAAAGAAAAATGTAAAGCCGAACTTACTACCACAGAAATAGCTAAAGAGAAGAATTCAAATTTTAATGTTTCAAAACCAAACGTATTAAATGGATTTCAAACAGCTGGTGGTAAAAACCTGCAGATTTCATCCAAAGCAAGAAAGGCTGTGGAAAATATTCTAAAAGAATTTCAGAATGATGCCAATACTGATTATGAAGCAAACCTGAAGGAAGCTAAATTAAAAATGCAAACTAAAAATAATCAATTGAAGTCTATAAAAGAAAGGCATATAGAAGATTTACCTAATATTAATGACACATTACCAAAACCATCGACCCATAATGTAAATACCCCCGGAACGCTATCCAAACAACCTGCCATGCAACATATTTTGGAATCACCTTTAAATGCTTTACCCACAAAATCTGTGATATCTGACAACAATGATAACTCGTTTCGAGAAAATAATTCTGCCGAAATAATAATTCCATCTACCTCTAAACGACGACTAGACAATGTTAACACTCCCCTGCCACCCTCAAAAAGGATTCAACAATCTTTTTCAGAACTTTCAGTGCAATCACCGCTTAATACCTCAGCCACCAAATCAATAATTTCAAGGAAAAATTTATTGTCACTTAGAAAGAAACCAAAGCAAAGAAAACATTCGTATGGCATTAGCAAAAACTCAAATAATTTCAATGAAGACTTGGAGGGGGGAAGAGATATTCCAACTAACTTAATAGAAGGACAGCAAGTCAAAACTCCTCTTAAAGCTAAATCAATGTGCCACCTAAACTCTCCATGGACACCAAATGTAAATGATTTCTTTAAAAATGCACCAAATTGTAGTACACCGCGCACCAAAGAAGATTCTGATTCGGAAGTACAGCAAGATTTTAAATCCATTGCCTGGGAAGAAAAAAGTGCATCCTTCTCCAAAACCACAAAACTTATTGAGGAATGTGGCAGCAATATTACATTAAATTCTCCCAATCCAAGTGCCAATGATCGCATTGGCCGTTTGAAAATGTATGGCGAGGCTCCCCCAATAACGCCCATTTCAATTGACATCCCCAACAATTGTCGTCCTTCCGGTTTGAGGCGTACCCGCCGGAAAATTACCAAAACCAATTCTGTAAATAAATGACAATATATTTATTAGTTTTGTGTAAGTATGTTACTACTATCTTTTAATACCCTTGCCTGTATATATAGAATTATAATTTATTTTTAAGTGAACCAACAACCCATGGTATATTATATTGAGAGTGTGTATGAATGTATTGAAAATACACAAACCTATTTGAAAGCCAATGAACATAGTACACGTTAATCGCTCTTCTTTCATTCGTAGCTATTTGTTTTGGTTGACTGCTGTTTCTGTGGTTTTTAACTCCGTATATTTTTGTTTGTGAAAAGATATCGGTTATTAGTTGAGAGCCTTACTTGTTGACAAACACATTGCACTTTCATAGAAAACTGAAGAACAATAATAGAAGCGGCATAATTAACCAAATCTTTGGGTGAGTTTTTCTCCTTTTTAGAAGAAGAATTTGAATTTTATCACGGATAATATTAAAAGTCAAATAAGTAAGGCATGAGTAACTTAAATCAGTGTTGCTGCAAATCATTTTCTGTAGATATGGAGCATGTTTCACAATCAAAAACCAATATTTTATTCGACGACCCCCTTAAATGGTTTCGAGATACATTTCGGGGCAAGCCGTGATATGGGCCATTTTATATTTCTATTAAGCAAACAGGGTTTTCATTTTCTAAAATATCCGATCTGTTGATATTGAGTAGGCAGAAGTAATAGCCCTTGCTCATTGAAGACCCACTTGGGTAAACAATCTCTTAATGGCCACGTATCAGGGTTGTGTTATAAACTGCATTGGCCATTAGATTTTTATCGTTATACAACTCGAAACAACCCTATTTTAGTCCAAGGCCAGTCTGTCCGGTGTATTACATGTAAAAACAACATATGTGTGTATGTAAGTATATAACTCTTTAGGCATTGACATTTTTAATTTTCGAACTTGTCTGAAATTTTATCTCCTCTACACAGACATAGCAATAGATTATTTATAGGTACGTACGTAGCAGTGTTTATCATTTTAATAGTACGACTGAAATTTACTCACATATATTACACCTTGTATTGCCACTTTCCTGCAATACAATAATGAAAACCAATTACATTCAAATGACTCTGCATGAGGTATCTTTTTTTAATGGGTGTATTTATAGACCACTAACTATACTAGTCCTACACGGGAACTACTACTCGCCGATCTATGCTAATAGCTGCCGAAGTTACCGTCTTTACCAAACACTTAACATAGACTCAAATTTAGATCGAATATTTCGGTTTAAACAAGGCTCTATATGTGGGATAAGCCTATATCTGTCTGACCTTTACAAAGTTAAGCCATACATTTGTCATTGCTCTACTTATATACCTCCCTCTTTTTTTACCCTCCATCTTGGAAAGGAGGGTATATTAACTTTGTCATTCCGTTTGTAACATCCCTAAATATTCGTCATAGATCCCAAAAAGTATATATATTCATAGTCAGCATAAAATTCTAAGTCGATTTAAGTCCGGCTGTTGGAATCACGATACAGCCCACATTTTTTGACGTAGAGCGTCAAAATTTAGCAGGACAATTCGTATTGTGTCTAGGATGGTTGGTATTTAACTAAGATATATCGGTCCACGTTTTGGTATAGCCCCAATATAACGGTACCTCCCGATATTCGGTATTTTGATGATTTTTGCCTCTTTTTTGCAGGGATTTATCTAAAAATTGGTATTTGTAGGTCATAATGGGTTCTAGCTTGTGTGGCGAAACATTGTATGTATAGGTCCTCGTTTTGGTGAAGTCCCCACATAACGGTACCTCTCGTTATTCGGTACTTTCATGATTTTTCAGCGGATTTGTCTAAAAATTGGTATTTGTAGGTAATAATGGGTTCTACCCCGTGTGGCGAATTATTTTATGTAAAGGTCCACGTTTTGGTGTAGCCCCCATATACGATATTCGGTGTTTTGATGATTTTTACCACATTTTTTATCGGATTTGCCCAGAAACTGGTATTTGTAGTTCATAATGGGTTCTAGCTATTGTGGCGAAACATTGTTTATATAGGCCCCATATAACGGTATCTGCCAATATTCGATATTTTGATGATTTTTGTCACATTTTTCCACGGATTTGTCTAAAAATTGGTATTTGTAGTTCATAATGGGTTCTAGCCCGGTAGCAGAACATTGAATATTTAGTTCTAGGTTTTCCTATAGCGCACATATAACGATACCCACTGATATTCAGTATTTTTATAATTTGATTTCGCATAAAATTGGATATAAATGTTCGATTTCCTTCAAATTTTGCAGAAACCAATATTTTTAGCTGTATTAGATGAAGTATGAAAATGGAATACTTTGGTCCGCTATATTCGTTACCTCAGGCATATTTCCACATTTTTCAAAAAATTGCACATATCCCATATAAAGTACAGGAAGTAATCGATATAGTCCAAATGTGGCATGTTGTAATATTTTTATGAGTCTTAGGTCAGATACGTATTGGTCAATTTTGCTTCGGAACCTACCCCATAAAGGGTCAACAGTTTGAATAATCATAACTCTGGGGGGCTGGGGGTATAACTCTGTCGACAAAACCGACTGATACTATTTTACTTGTTTATTATTATTTTATTTTAACCCCGAATAGAATCATTGAAAAAACATTTTTTTTTTGAAATGGTGATGCATCTTACTGTATTTTCTTACTATGGGCATAATCAATGCTAGGCTTTTGCATGATATATACCTCCCAGGTAAACGTATCCTTGAGCAGAAATTCAAATAAACGGTTAATATGATTCATGTAGAACATGTGATCTCACCCTATGTTTTGTGTTATCAATCAGTAGTGAAATTACGAATGATTGGAAAAGCAAAGAGATTTGTGGTGGAGAGAATTGCCGCCGCCTCTCCTTTTCAGATGTGAGCCGCCGCGGATTATGTCAAATCGCAGCCACGTAACCAGAAAAAATATCGCGATTTCTTCTGACTTCCTATTTTCTTTGATAGATGTTCATATGAATTAAAAAAGTCCTAAAATATATATATCTTTAGTTTTTAAAAAAATTTTCTTCCGCGCTGAAATCTCGCCGGTGCCGACAAAATAGACATAACATCGCCGTCGATTGGTATACAGCTAATTTGGTGACGCCGCAGAAAAAATCGTTCCGCTTCGTTATCTGATTGGAAGAAACTTTTTTTATTTTGTGTCAATCTGAGTCTGTGTTTGTTGTTGCTTGTTGGCTTGTTGTGCATTAAAAATTAATAAATACACCCTATATTAACACAATGTTGAATAAATAAAAGTACCACAACTTCTCCATTGCTAAGAATTTTAATTGCTGTAAGATTGCAAATTCCAATTAGGAAAATATAATTGGCCACGACATTATTAATCTTCTCCCATTGGAAACGATTCGTATAAGGTAAAAAGGGGGGTGTTTTATTTTTACACTAAAAATAACAAAAACAACCTCACTGGTTGTAAAAAAATATGCGAATATGTGTGTATGTCGTTAATGGAGTGAAGTAATGAAGTATTGATGGAAACTTGTTTTCCTTTTAACGCAAAGATAAAAGTAAAGATTTTGCAAAGCGAGTTGGTATTTTTAAACCATATCCCCCCGTAGCCCCATATTAAGTTTTGTATGTAAAGTATATGTTTCCGCATACATTCTAAATGAAAGTATTAACTTGTGTTTATAAATTTTGTTGTCATTACATAAGTTTGTGGATAGTTTTTAATAATTTTTTTCCTGAGAAATCTTTAATTAATTCTTGCAGAAATGCATTAGGTCATATAGCTAGAAATGATTTAAAACTGCAAACATATGTATGTATGTTTGTATTATATATGTCATCATTTTATATGCTAGACTAATATAAAATATGTATGTATGTCACCACGTACATTTTGTCCCAATAATAAACAAATAAAAAACAAAAATACAAAACAAGAGTATGTTAAATTTTGCTCTGATAAGGAAACTTGGAATTTTTTGATATTTTTCGATTGTTTAGTTTGTACAAAAAAACATTCATCTAAACACACATGTGTGTATGTTTGTGAACCGAAACATTCATTAAGTCAGGCTTGCAAAAAGCTTATTAACAATTTGAAACGCAAAATGTATATTTATACATTTTAGATAAAAAAAATACTTTGTACTTAAATAGAATTTCCAACCAAATGTCGGTCATTGAATTAAAATGAAAGTATTCAAAAACGAAAGGCTGAATAAGATTCTAAAATTGCAAAGGTTTAGAGTGATACTAGTGTACTGACTAGCAAGAAAGTAGCGGCTTTATTTGTTCATTCCATGCTTTGATTTATACTAACCACTTTTTTTTGCTATGTATGTAGGTATTTCAGCAAATTGTTTTAAAATGGCTGATGAATTCGATGGTTGCGAATGTGTGTGGTCACACGAATGGGCCATGCAAAGATTACTAAATTTTGTAAGTATAAGATTAGTTTAATACATTGCCAAACCACTAACAACATCCACTTTATTTCTTTTTAGATACGTCAAAATCAAAATGAATGCACTGACACCAATTGCATTGATGGTATGTAATGAAAAGGAATTATTAATAAACAAAATAATTTCCTGGTTTTATACTTCGATAAGGTGATAATATTCTGTTTATTTTTAAAACCAGTTACAGGAAGACTTCAACAGCCCAGTGCATCAACCGGTGACGAAGAGGGCAATTTTACCATGATGACCATGATCATGATCTTTGCTATGGTCATGTATTTCATTAGGCCAGAGTCGATACTGAAACTAACCAGTAACAACAAGCGAAATGGTGGCAATCCAAATGGAAACAATGGCGGTGGTCCATCATCGCCACCACCAACACCGCCGGCGGTTAATTAATATATTCAAAATACTGGATTTTTTATATGTATATTTTTCCAGATCGTTTGCCAATATACATGTTTTTTTAGAAAAAAATAATATGTATATTGGTATTAATATACATTTTTATATTATTCCTGAATCATTTATTTTATTATAGAAAGTTTTGCAACATTTAGTTTATGTGTTGCAATTCGTGCGGTATTTTATTTTTTTTTTTTTCAAAAGAACATTTTTTTATTTGCCACCAAGTAGGTACACAAGAATTGAATTGAATAAAACCATTATACAAAATGCATGTTTCTTGAGTGTCTGTCTCTTGCCCTAGAACTGTGATAGAGAGAAACCCAATTCGAATAAATTCAATAAAATAAAAAAATAAATATTACAAAAAAATATAAATTTGCTTCTTCTTTTGCTTTTTTAATTGTCCTATATTTGTGGGGCTATGGTTTAATTCGTAAATGATAAGTATATTAAGTATATTGCAAAAATGATTCTTTTTATTATAAAATAAGTTATTGTATTTATTTATTAATAAAATTAGGTATTACCACTCAATCAATATTACAAAGAATTCCTTTTAGTCGTCGCTATGTATTTTGTGTATTACCGTTCGTACCTTTTTGATGAGCTCTTTCATGTTTTCATATTTACCCGTTGAATCGGGTAAATTTTCAAAATTAATGACATCGCTGACCCCAACTTTGAAATTTTCACCATTTGGCAGACTATCGTAGGGAGAGAATTTCAATACCGGTGTTCCCATATAAGTTTTGTCAATGTTGTCATTATTTGCAGTTTCGGAGGATTTACACGAATCTTTGGAATCTTCATTGGTTTGGCTGGTTTGTTCTCCTGGATCAGTATTTTTCTGGGTCGGACTGCTTTGTTTTTCTTCCTGCTCCATGCTGTTATCAAGCGCAATTATTTCATCGACAAGCGAATCATCGATTTCAATAACCGATGTATCCAGTTCTTTTAAAAGCTGATTCTTTCGTACTTCCAATTCATCCAATGACGGCGAATCAGGCGAGTTGGGTGAGGTAAGAGCTTTTGTGACTGGACTTGAAGGTGGCAATGGTGGTGGTGGCGGAGGAATATCTTCTGTTGATTGTGGAGGTTCTGCTGGCGGTGGCGGTCGCACAAATTCCACATTTTCAGCCGACTCAACATCTTCAATTTCCATATCAGATATTTGGATGTGATTGAAATCATTACCACTGTCATCGGCATTGGATTTGGGAAAGTCTTTGAGCTTCTTGCGTTTGTAACCTTTGACAACATTGTCACCCAAGGTTTTGACAAATTCCTCTTTAAATTGGTTCTTGTTCATCGGTGGCACATTGTGATATTTATAATCCTGCAATGTTTGTAAAGTTGTTTAATTATCATCACTAAAATTGTTAGCATATCAATCACTACTTACATCGAAGAAGTTTTCTCCTGGGTCTTGATTGAAGCCAGGAAAGTCGATAATTTTCGATACATTGTATTTATGGGTATTCGTATCCACATCACCGTCATCTTCATCAGAATTTAATATTTTGGAACCCTGCAACAACAACAAAAAAGTAAATTAAATAAATTATACCAATTTAGAGCGTATATGCATACATACATCTGAATTAAATAAATTGATACCAGAGTGCTCCACCTTGGCGTCCTCCAACCAACCCGGCGGGTATCCCAAAACACGCATACGATAAAAGAAGAAGGGCAACTCGCCCTTTCGTAAGCCCATAGCCTCCCTTAATTTATCGCTAATATTACCAGGCCTCAAATGAGCAAATCTTTGCTCTACATCGACATGATATCGTTCAGTTTTGGAGAAATTCTTTTTGGCCGCCTTGATGCGTTTCATATTGTGTGGCATTGGACATTCTCTGATGTTGTGATCTGCTTCGCCACAATTGAAACAATTGTTTGTTTTGGAAGCCTTCATATTTTTCTCCTCCTGTTTTTGTTTCTTGGTTGCAGCCGCTTCTTCGTCCAATAGGGCATCCTTTATGGCTCGCTTGTACGAGGGTATATTTATGCTATCCAATTTCTGGGCTGGTGTAGTGTCAATGGTGAACAACTCACTTATACCACTAAGATCGGGTGAATCTTCCTTCTCAAAAGTTCGCGCGCTTTGTTCATCGTCAAGTCGGGACTCATTTTCATTGTCTGCTGCATATCTAACATTCAAGGTAATGTTGTTGTCCTGTTCTATGGATAATATTTCGATTTTTCTGTCTTCGCCACAACTATTTAGCTTCTCCTTGAGGCATTCCTCAATGAGACATCCAAATTTTGCATAGCTTTGGCTTGTGAATATGATTTGACATATATTGTCGCCCTGTGAGGATTCATCCTCGTCGTCCAGTTCGCCTTCTTCCATGGCATCTTCGTGGGAGTCATCCAAAGTAATACAACTCACATGTTGGTCCTGCAGCACACAGTCACTGTCGTTGAGGCTCTTGTCAGCACCCGGCATGTTTCCTTCTTTTTGATAACTTTCAAAGTGTTTAAGATCATGCAGACGCACTTGTTGCACAAGAAAGTAAAGAAATCCCGGTCCTCCTGGTCCTGGCACAGACTCTGGAAAGGGTGTTTATTAAACAAACAAAACAGAGTATTCGCACGTTTATTAAATCAAGCACAATCTCAAATCACACATATGCACATTTGTTCTACTTGTTTCTAGATATTTATATATAATTTTTATACGAAATACGATAAATAATTAATTAATTAATTAATTAACAATTTACCAAACCGACGCCACCAAGAGAAAAAATTGAACTAACGAACAAAGGACACTTGGCAACACTGAAAAGAAAGACAGCACAGAAAGAAAATCTCAATAAAGATGGGAATCAGAAGGGAAAGGCTGACATCATGAATGGAATCAAAACAAAACGGCCGACAACATGGTTTGAACACATTCACCAAAGGAGCGCGGAACTAGCTCACTCTTTTGATAGTAGAGTTCTGTAGTTCCAGAACGAATTTAATAAATTGAACTATTCACTGAATGGAAGTGTCGGGATATGTAATTGATCGTCGGCGGCGGCTTATGTTGAAAAATGTCGGCGGCGGCTTTAAGCCTGCTGTGAGCCAAATTTGATTTGGAATCTGTAGAATCGAAAAAGTTGATTTAGAGTGATCTAAAAGATCGAAAAAGTCGGTTTAAAGGGTTATAGAAACCATGGTAGAAAAATACAACAGCTGCTGTGACAATGAACTGTTAAACTAATTTGGAATTGATATTTTTTAAATGAAAAGCTATTAAAATTCGTTTAAAAATGAATACCATAACAATCTCTGATTGGCGTCGTATAAAAACCACCCGAAAATCTACTTATTGATGAAAAAAAAAAACTTTGACATATTCTTCTACCATGAATTGTTTTGACAGCTCATTATCCCAGCAGCTGTGTTATGCCACTACCTGTATTTTTCTACCATACCAGAAACAATATTTTTTTAATGTGTTTTTTAAATTAACTGTCGGACTTAGGAGCTCAATTCTTGTTCTTTAGAAAGGCAAAATGAAACTCCTTTGTTTCTCTTCGAAGAAGCCAGCCGATGACTTAAGTTATTCAAAAAAATGCGTATGTTTTATTCTTATGTCATCGGCTGGCTTCTTCGTAAAAGAGCAAAGCAGCATAGGGATTATATTGAACTTAATTAACCTAAAACTCCTTTGTTAAGATAATCCAGCCAAAAAATTGTACCATGGAAAACATTGATATTTGCAATGCTGAATATGTCTGCTTAATGTCTCTATTTCTCCTAAAGAAGCATCACGAAAGTTAATAAATACTTAATATACAATATCAATTTTCTTTTTATCGCTGCAAATCTATTTACACATTCGATTTCCAGTTTGCTTTTCTGAAATCAATATTCCATAATATCTTTACATGTGAACCCACAGTGTTGCATTGGCCGATACTAAAACAGAGTTGTAATAACAGCATTTCCAAACACTTCCCAATTACTCTGCACTGACTCAAGTGTACTAAAAAGATACAACAGCTGTCTTTTCTCTTTCCGTTTCCTTTTTCGTGAACGCTTCCAAAATGAAAGCTAAGGGACAGGTAATTTTCCCTGAAAAAATATGAAAAATTGTAACAAAACTTAAAGGAAAAATGTGGCAAATGCTTGTAAATGTAGCAGTGTATGATATTATATGAAAATACTTAATTTGTGAAACTATGCCATTAGGAAATTGGCGAAAAATACTAAGGTTTAGCAGACATGTGCGCTGTTTGTAGAAGAGTGTGTGTGTATGAACTGTCAAAACATTGAAATCCACGATGGTGCCGATAAACGTCAATTGTGAATTAAAAAATTGTATGTGAGATTCAACCGGAATTATTTTTATCAATTAAACTGATTGTTACAAATGAATTTGAGGTTGTGCCAACCCAATGATATATACACGTTTGCCTCATTTTTTGCTTTGTTTTGTTTTTGTGACCACAAGTGATGTGTTCTATCTAAAATGTTTCCTTTTTACTTTACAGTTGAAGGAATACGAGGTCATCGGCCGCAAGTTGCCCTCCGAAAAGGAGCCTCAAACTCCTTTGTACAAGATGAGAATCTTTGCTCCCGACAACATTGTTGCCAAATCCCGTTTCTGGTACTTCTTGCGCCAATTGAAGAAGTTCAAGAAGACCACCGGTGAAATTGTTAGCCTTAAACAAGTGTACGAAACCTCACCCACCAAGATCAAGAACTTTGGTATCTGGTTGCGTTACGATTCCCGTTCCGGTACCCACAACATGTACCGCGAATACCGTGACTTGACCGTTGGTGGTGCCGTCACCCAATGCTACCGCGATATGGGTGCCCGTCATCGTGCTCGTGCTCACTCCATCCAAATCATCAAGGTTGAAGCCATTGCCGCTAGCAAGACCCGCCGTGTTAATGTTAAACAATTCCACGATTCCAAGATCAAGTTCCCCTTGGTACAACGTGTTCACCACAAGGGCAACAGGAAATTGTTCTCCTACAGAAAACCAAGAACCTACTTCTTGTAAATGGGATATTGGCTTTAATGTGTGGGTTTTACTACAATTTCTTTTTTTATATTGTAAGACTATCCTGAAGGCGTCAGTGAAACACACAGTGTTTTGTTTGAAGGTAAAACAAATAAATATGTAAAAAATCTTAATCATTTGTGTATGTTTTTTTTCTACCAAAGCTAAATGGAATTAGAATTGTAAACAAAGTGTAGATTCAGATGATGGAATGTCAAAGATGTGTGGTTATAACAATGAATTTCCTATAAACAGTCTTAAACAACATATGGATAGAGAAATGGTGTATCGTTGTCTTTATTAACGATAAATATTATTGGTTTATATCGACTCTTAGAATCAACTTTAAACATTTTGTTATGACCTAAAACTAAATTCACGTTTGTCACGAAATCAAATTGTACTGAAATGCATATCGGATCTGGTGAAATTGATTCGGAAACATGAATTAGCCACACCAATTTTGTGACACCTCTAATTATAAACATGAAGATCTGATGATATCTGCGATCACAGTATTATTCGACTTTATTGCGGGATTCCTAACTAGGAAAAGGCAGGAAACAAATATTCGAAAAAACACTATGTACAGTATTTATAAAAACTTGCAAAATTGAATAGAAGTTATATTTTATTTTGAATATATTTTCCGAAAAAGATTTTTTTCGAGCAATTGTATTTAGAAATGATCGAGCAGCTCTTTATACCCTGTCGGTATTGTTTTCCTTCATTTGTGTGACCCAAAAACGAACCCTATTAAAATTGAAGATAATCGGTCGAAAATTATATATATATATATCGTCGTCCGACTCGACTTGCAATATCAGCCCAAAAAGTATGAATTTTGCACATACGACCAAATTAGGCCTAAAAATAATTATGCCAAATTTGATCGAAATCGGTTCAGATTAGCTATAGCTCCCATATATATTGTTCATCTGATTTGTTATTTTTTTTCCTCCCCATTTGATATTTGAAAAAATATATCAAAAATAGCTCAGAAATACCTTTGATAAGAATTCTATCGAGATTGGTTCAGATTTGGATATAGCTCCCATATATATCTTCGTCCAATTTGCCTTTTATTGTGCACCAAACGTGTAATATCTGCCAAAAAAATATGGAACCTTGCACATCGGTTCAGATTAGCTATAGCTCCCATATATATTGTTCATCCGATTTGTTATTTTTGTCCTCCCCATTTGATATTTGGAAAAATATATCAAATACAGCCAAGAAATACCTTTGGCAAATTTTATCGAGATCGGATAAGATTTAGATATAGCTCCCGCAAAGTGGTATAGTGGGTATATCGGCCACGCCCCACTTTAGAACTTTCGCTTTGGTTTTGTTTTTGAAGGTTTGACAGTCGAATATGTGGTATTTGTTTTTTGGGGTTAATGAGTTTCAATCCCTTTTCTATTTTCATTTTGGCGGAGCATAAGGGTTTTTTTCAATATTTCAATACCCTTTAAATGGCTGTGGAATCGGACTTGTTCTACACGAATCGATTTAACATTTGCAGACCACAAATTTAAAACATTCGCAATCAAACACTCCCAGTGGCACAACCATAAAACTTAAATGGAATTGGCTAAATATTTTTTGGGATTTTTGCACCATTCTCAAGGAGGAAAGGTTTTCAAAATGGGATATTGAAAATATTTGCAAACATTACCAATCAAAAGATATTTAAAAAAAAAAAAAAATAAAGAAAAATTGTTTTAGCTGGTTTGGTGTGCGATTCTCTGGTATTTTTCGAAAAAGTTTTTATTTTCTAAGAATTCTATTTTTTAGTAATGATCGAGCGTTTCTTCTTTCGAGGGCTTGATATTTAGCATTTAATGCCAAAGCTTTATGAGTCTCAATCACTTTCGGATTTGGCAAATCACAGCGTAGGTATTCTATTAATCGGTTTGTCCTCACGTGCACGATTCTTCTCGGGAACTATACAGTTGAGGCCAGCAGCTCCATATAAAGAAGCTATCTTAAGATACACTTATTTGTACAAATGCTACTTCCGTGCAAAATGAAATGTATACAAATCGGAAAAAATATCTTTAATGCTTCAAATTTATTTAATTAATTTTCAATATAGGTATTTTTTGAATATATAGGAATTTTTAATTTCAAAAAAATAAACGCTCATTCGAAATTATTCTTCTTCCTCCTCATCATCGTCCTGATCATCCGGCGATGGCATACATTCGGTGAAGTATTCTCTAACATTGTTACACTCATCAGTATCGGACCAAATCGAATCGGGGCATTGTTTGAAAGTATTCATCATGGCACAATGGAACATGATGCCAGCCTGAGGAGAACAATGATGATGACGATGGTGATGATGTGGTGGTCGACGTGACGAATTTTCATTCTTTGACCAATGTTCTCGGATCTTTTCCATTATTTCCACTGATTTTTGGTAGCATGTTTGAAAGGATTCTTTTAGAATTGGCAAAACCTCGGGATTTTCTGCAGCAGCACCACTTAAGAAGGTGTCCAAATTGTCTTCCTGTAGTTCGCCATCAATCAAAATGCCAGTTTCATTGAAAAGACATGTGGGGAAGCACTGTAGGGAAGATAAATTTGGGAGATATAAACTGAATACAAATATTGTAGTACAAACATTTACATGATGATGATGGTGGCCATGACGACCATGGTGTCCATGAGGTCCGTGACGATGATGATGATGACGACCGGGACCGCCTTGTTCTGATTCATCAACTTCATTATTCATCTCACCCGAAGGTGGTGGTGGTGGGGGTTCGTTGCCTTTGCATTTTTCCACCAATTCCTCACTGATTAGATTTGGCACTGCACAGCATTCTTTGGGATCCTTTTAATTTGTAATATTTAGAGTATTTTATTTTCTAGACAGAACACCATTTCAATGCTTACCACAAAAGCTGGAGCTTTATTGCAATCAACCTCGGCCGTTACATGCGACAACTGCAAATATTAATAAGTTTTTTATAAATTCATTTTAAATTTCACAATTCATAAATTTTGTCTACGACCACTGATAAAAGCACTACTCCTGCTAGAAGGTGTATGGTTTTAGTATCCATTTTGAAATTAGAAATATAACTGTAGAATATTTCCAAAGCAGCAGTCTTTTATTTAAAAGTCTGTCTGTTCTGGATAAAATGCAGCAACTTGTCGATTGCATGTATGCAAAACAAACAAAAAATTATTAATTGTTTCAAATCTATTTAATTTATTTAATTACTGGAAAATCTAAAAAACGAAAACACTTTGGTTTGTGTATGTGTGGCTTGCTAATTTATGTAGCCCAGCAAATAATTTAGATCGACTAGAGTTTTCGGGATTCATTCATAAAATATTCCAAAAAAAAAACAAGAATTGAATAAAGGGTTAGGAAAAATATAGTTCTCATATTTATTGTTTATGAATCTCTTATTATTAACCTAACCTAATCATTGTAAAATTGAAGGAAATGAGAAAGCCAAAATATTAGGCACAGTCTTGTAGCCGCCACCCTCACTTTGTAATTATACCCTAAGCCACATGACTAGAGAGGGTTTATATAATTTGATACAGCCAAAACGTGCCTCATCGAAATAACGGTTTTAGACCCTAGGTCTCTTTGGACCAAATCCGTTTCAGGACATTTAGAGTCGATGCAGCGACGTCCGTCCGTCCATCTGTCTGGCTGGTGCGCACGATAACTCTCGAAGGGAATATCAAATTTATTTCAAACTTGGTACATCGTAATATTATTATCAAAATTTGATCGAGTTCGGAGACGGGCAATATCAGTTCACTCCTTCTGGTACCTCCCACACAAAAGGTCAAAATTTGCAAATAAAATATGTTACTGCACAGAGAGGATAATCCAATTTTGCTCCAACTTTGCAAATCCTAATATTTGCACCAGTTCTAGGTTAGGTGCGAAAATGGACAGTATCGGTTCAGTCAATCAAGTATCTCCCACACAAAAAGGGTCAGAATTTTTAATAATTATAACTCTTATAAAATGTGATAAAATAGTCCGATTGTCTTCAAATTACTCACATCACAATATTTTTATTAACTCAAGGTCGGGTGTCAAAATTTTGATTATCTAAATTTGAATATCAAAGTTTTTTAAAAATCCAAACGATCATAAAAACCGAAATAAGCATCCGTTTCTCTTCAAATTACAGAAATCACAATATTTTTATGGACCCAAGGTCTGGTGAGAAAATGGGATATGTTGGTCCACTTCTTCAGGTACCTCCCCCACACAGGGTCAACATTTTAAATATCTATGAACCTCATAACGTAACATCCGATTTCATTCAGATTTGACACATCTCAATATTTCTATTAACACAAGATCTGTTATAAAGATGGTAGAAATCGGAAAATTTCTTCTGGTACCTCCCCCACATATGGTTCAAGATTTTTGATAAAAAAAACGCTCAACGAAAACAAAACAAGCATCCAACATTCTTCAAATTTCACACATACAAACACTTTTGTTAACGCAAGTTCTGTCGTGAAGATGATATATATCTGCCAACCCCTTCTGATGCCTCACCCACAAAGGGCCACAATTTCCAATACTTATATCTGTCATAACTTACGAAGCAAGTCAGCAATTCTTTAACAAAATAAATGTGATATCTCCTCACGTATAACTCAGTCTCTACTAAGCATGGACGTTACGGATAATAGATAGATTAATGGATGCTTCAACGCTCGGAAACATTGATATGTCAAACATTTTTAAAGTTCCACTCAAAAATAAATTGGTTTTTATATGTTTTTTTTATTACATGCCATTCGGAGGTTGTTATGATATAAATTATTCAACAATTTTAACAAATTGATCCTTTTGTCATCTATGGCTTCACTGGCTTGCCTTTTTACTTATCCTCAAAAATGTATATCCTTTCATCCTTCTTAACTTGTATTTCTTTTTCAAGCAGGACGATCACAACGGACCGAAAAGTCTCCCATAACCTAACCTATTCCACTGCGTTTTCATAGATAATCCATCCATTCATTAATATTTATAAGTCCTTTCTTCTATTGGAAAAGCGACTTCCATCACTCTCTTTGGGGAAAACACCATCTACAAATGATTTTGCTTTTCCAAGTGTTAAATAATTCTGGCCGGCAAAATGTTGACCTCTGGAAAATTTTGCACCCAAAACGTAATGAACAAACCCATAAAAAATTATTGTTTCTAATAAATAATAAACACATTAATAAAATTATAGTTTAAATTATTGAAAAAGAGATATCTTAAATTGTTTGATTTTTCAAAGGGGCAACTTGTTTTCCCCCCACAAAAAAAAATAAAATTTACATTTTACATGTCCACTGCCTGTATATTGTGGGGTACAATGTGTCATCGCCACCACCTGTGATGCCACAATAACAAATTTTAATTGATTATAACAAAATGTACTCGAATTTATTTGTTATTATCATCATACAATGTGCAAATAAACAAGACCCGAATTTTTTGCTCCATTTTAAGAGTAATGATAATTCGTGGGAACAATTAGATGTAATTAAATGAAATTAATTTCGGCCATCATTATATCTAAGTGAAGCGTAGTTCAAAGAGTTTTTATGCTGCAACATGATTTGGTTGGAAATTATTATAAATTTGGGAAGTTTGTGATAAAAATCGACAGTCATTATTTGTGCGTTCATCTATTGTCGTAAATCATGACCCATTTTAAATTACCAAACGGGAAGCTATTGGGTGCGTTAGCCTTGCTAATGGCCTTCGTGTTGGTATGAGAGTTTAAAAATATGTAAATATATAATTTTGTTGATTTTTGTTTTTCATGTTTAAAGGAAACTACCTTTGCTGCCGGAATTGATTGTTCAATGAGGCCACCAATGATTGTGAGCATGATTTACACTCATAATATTTTATTTTGGGTAAAAATATGTGATTTGCCTTTTTCAGGATCCCCTGACTTGCTGTCCCGTCCCCGATATAATCAGCGAGGACATAATGACAAAATGTAGAATGGCAATGCCAAGGCCACCGCCACCTCCTCCTGGGTATCCCTATGCCGATCCTGGCTTAATGTATAGTGATGAAGACTCCTCGTCCATGTCAAATGAATCAAAACAACCCAAAACCACAGGCCCACCTAATAGGCGACCACCTCATCCACATTATGGCCCACCCCCACCACATATGCAAGCAGTAAGCCTAACAATTACATACTTAAATAAAATTTAACTATCTCAATATAATTTATTAAATTCCAGTGCTTTTTGTACTGTGCTCTCAATGAGACTGGCATTTTACCGGCTACACCCGATGCCAAACTAAATGAAAATAAATTATCAACCTATCTGAAAGAGATTCTAGCCAATGCCACCGACATGATACCCATCATGGAGAGTTCATTTAAAACCTGTGCCGTCAAAGTAGAGGAAATGAGCAAGAAATTTAAGGAACATTTTGAAAAGAAGGCAGCTGCATCTGCTTCCTCTTCAAATGAATCAAAAACACAAGATCGTATGATGCGGCCACCACCTCCTCTCTGTCCCCATGCAGCCAGTCACCTAATGGGTTGTGTATTTAAGGAATCATTTATAAATTGTCCCTCATCCCTGTGGTCCAATACAGAGCAATGCAACGAAATAAGGGACCACATGAAAAATTGCAAGGCCAACAAGATGAAGAATGGAAAATTGGATAAAATGTAATGTACGTTTTTTTATCTTCTCACAACCAAATGGGGAATGAGTACACAGCATTGTATTTTATTTGCCTTTGAACCCCAAGTGTTCAATTTAATTTCCCCCTAAATCACTTTGTATTTCAACCAAGTGTAAAATTTGATTATAAATTGTGAAATAAAGAACAAAACAATTCCTTATCAATCGCAAAAACACACATCCTTTTAATACGCATGTCGCTTGACTTGGCGACTGGAAGGCTTTACCATTTTGCGGGCAAAAATTTTAAAACATTCGCAACCATACATTCCCAGTGGCAAGACCTTAAAACAAAAATGGAGTTAGAAAAAGATTTTAAGGATTTTTGTAGCATTCTCAAGGAGGAAAGATTTTCAAAACAGGATATTGAAAATATTTGCAAGCCCCTTTATAATTATCAACGCAAAGAAGTTTTGAAAAAATATAGCAAAATTATTTTAGCTGGTTTGCTGTGTTATGCTCTGATACAGTGGTGTGATTGTTTCAATTGGTTTATTTCGGCTCTGGGTCGTTTAGCTCTTATTCAAATACTTCCGGTTTGGAATTGGCCAGCGCTCTATAATGCCAAATGTTTGATTGAGCGCCCTTTGGACAACAATAATGTTAGGCAAGCCAGTACTTTGCCGCCGAATACGGTGGATTTTGGAAACTGTTTGCTGTGTGAAAATATTGGTAGTATTTTTGACTAATACCCATGAGTTTAAAACATATTCTTATGATCATATTATCCTTTATTCTTTTTCAGATTTCATACCAACGTTGTCAAATGTTACATTTTCAACATTGGAAACATTCTACCTTGAAAGTGGCCTACCTGTTGTGATAATCGATTCCCACACTCCCATAACTGGCGATGAGTTTTTCTACACAATATTCCACAAATCTTCGACCTCGTTTTTACAAAGTTCCCACTGCGACATTTCATCGAATGTAATAATCAAAAAATTCTTCAACACCGAACTTGTTTTACGCAAAGCATGGAAATTATTGGATACATCAGAGAAATGGTTTATACAATTTCGCATTTGTCAAGCATCGGCTGTACGAAACTCCCGTCTATTTTTGAAGAAACCTTATTATTATCCTGTGCATCTGGAACCGTACTATTCAAGTTGGCTAATAATGTCGAATAATTTTAGTCATCGTCAATATCAGGAAATATATGTGCAAGGACTAATAATTGTCCAGCAATTATCGGGAACAAACAACTTGAGATTGAAACCAAAGAGACCATGTGACGAAAATTGTCCACTCATCAATGTCCAGTTGAAGGAAGGCGAAGCACTTGTATTCTCCAGTGATTTATGGGAAATAAGTTATAAGCAAATCAAGTCACATCAAGCCAGTATAGCAACTATAATGGAAATTGATTGGAATATTTAAATAACATAAAAATAAATAAAATAGAAAAAATGTTAAATGTGATTTTTTATTTCAATATGTTTTATCAAGAATGATAAAATATAATCAGGGATTTTACATAACGGGTGTAATTTCAAAACACTGAACGAACAAAGGACACTACAATATGGCAACACTGAAAAGAAAGACAGCACAGAGAGAAAATCGAAATAAAGATGGAATCAAAAGGGAAAGGCGGACAACACAAAAGGAATCAAAACAAAACGGCCGACAACACAGCAACAGATGTTTAAAATATGGGTTATCATTTTACGATGATTAGCAAACAATTTGCTATCGATTCTTTGTGATTAATGAAACAACAACCACAGGGAAACGTTCAGTAACAATAAAACCGTAGACGGCTTTATCGACATTAAAATTATCATTGTGGTTGTTGCTTTAGGGGGTCGTGTTCATTATATTCGTATTGAAATATCGAGGTAAATAAGGTTTACACCTTATTTACACTTCTGTTCTATCATTTTAATCACAATAATCTATTTTGGCATTAAATTTGGCTATGAAGGGAGCCTTATAAATAGGCCATCATTCTCCTATGGCATTAAAATTCTCCCTGATTTATTGGCCACGCGTGTCATGAATTAACGCGTAGAACGTTCATTGTGCTATCATTTGTCATTTTACACTTTGGAGCGCTTTAAATTTTGTTTGGTGGAAAAAGGCGCTAAATCTCCTTCACTGAACACACCCATGTGCTGATTTATAAGTTTAATTGATAAATTTACATTCGAAAAATAAACAAAAAAGATTTTCTTACACAAATATGCGTTATTTTTAAGTTTAATTGAGCAAATTATCGTTTGAAATTTAAATTTAAAGTTAATGTATCTTTGGTAAAGTTTAAAGTTTACGTAAAATAGGTCCAAGCGCTCCTTTCAGTGAGTATTTGCTGTGAACCCCGCAAAGTTTGTTTATCTTGCATTTTTGCCGGACTTCTTTGCAAATAAATAAAAAATATGGGAAGTCAAACCAAAAATGTAATGTAAGTATAACCAGATATTACCCGTAGCTTAATTTGAAATGTGGGGCATGGCGGACACCGTGAGGTATCTAGCGTGTGTCCACTCGGCACACTGTGGGCACACATGTAGCACATGCGGATCTTCTATACCTCAAAATACCAACTAAAGTGAGACACCTTGCTTTACAGAACCGATTGGAAGAAATTATGGCAGTTGGTGTCTGGCATACACCATGAAACACCCGAAAGCACAGTATTGGAGGAGCTAACAAACGTAAGCCAAGAATTAAAGGATGGACTGTTGCAATTTAAGACTGTGAATGATTCCAAAACGACTTTGGAAAAGTTGTTGAATGAAAAGAAGCAAGAGAAACTGCTGCCGTTTACTATGCGTTTGCAAGAATTGCTGGTAAGTATGAAGAAAAGTTCACAAAAAATAACGAATATTGATTGTTACTTCTTTTTTTACTAGGATCTGGAATCATTGCAATGTTGGGAAATTTTATGTTTCTATTTGGCCAATGAATATCGCGGTTCGGCCAGTTCTTTAACCACACTTATATCCACGGAGAACAACATGACCCAATTGCTGGACGACATTTGGGGCTACTACACATTGGAACGTTTGATTGTATTGAAAATTGTCAAAAATCTGTTGATATTTTATCGTGTCCCACATCACCCATATCACAATGAGTATAAGGAAATTGTGAATAAAATTGGCATGGACAAACTAAAACAGTCGTACATAAAACAACTGGAGCATTTAATAAATGAGACACCGCCACAGAAATTAACCAATCGTGAATTTTTCAATTATCAATCAAAATTGGTTAATTGGTCGGAACGCAATGCCCGTGAAATCATCGAAGTTTCCCAGATTATTCTATTGCTGTGTGACCATAAACATTTCAATTCCGAGGAAATTAAGACTCTGTTCAATTGTTTCAAACAACATTCGTTCGGTAGACAACAAAGCTATTTGAGTGCCTCCTCCAATGCACTGCATTTTGAATTGCAAACTCGTTTGGCCTATGTGGAACTGGCGTTGTTCCTCAAATGTTTGGATTTTAAAAGAGACAATGGCTCCAAGGAATTCGCCAATGATGTATTTAAGAAATTAGATAAAGATGTAACCGGCATGTGTTATCATCCTGAAAATGGCCCAATGCTATTGTCATGGATGCTTCTGCAAATTCAATATACTGATGCTGCCGAAAATGAGGAACAGCTGCTACGATGCCGCAAAATGGGCAAGAGGGCAGTTGATTTAAATTGTTTCAAGTTTTTGCTTGATTTAATATCAAATTCTATGTTTAAGGTAAGGGTAAATGCAATTGTTTATATAATGAATATATTTTCTTTTTTTACACCAATCCCTAGGATGATTCTTTGGTGTCCAGAATAGTTAGAAAAACCATTTATAGTTTGTTAACATGTTTGTGTGAATATTTTGATGGCGATGGATCCTGTTCTAAGCATCCATATATTTATGAACTTTTATGTGAATTACTGAGCTGGCCAACTCTGGCTAAGGAGTTTTGTTCACACGAAGGTAATATAATTTCAGAAATTGATTGTTAATATTATTAATATTGATATTTGCAGATGGTGGAGTACGATCTTTATATGACACGTTATTGGAGATGTTTCCCTTAGATTTTGCTCATCTTTCCATGATGGCCACAGCTCTGACTAAGGGTGGCATGGGAAACTATGTAAGTATATCGCTTTGCAAAAATGATCCACTGAATTTTTTCATTGATTTTTACATTTACAGGTCAAACAAAACCTTGAATCACTGCCCATACTTACCGACGTTTATGACGAAAATAGATTTCATCTAAAACCGGTGGGAGGAGATGATTATATTTTGAGTAATGCAGTTAAACCATTTCCCCGAATCGACTTCTATTTACCGGAGGGTACACCAGCTACAGTTTTGGGTCGACCAGAAGGCTATTGCGTACACTTCCGTTTACCGGTGAACTATTTTAATGTATTGCACCACGAAATCAATTCCTTGCTTACGGAAACAATGCATTATCATGGGGATTATGAAAATACTGAACGAGTTCGTCGTGTTATCGAGGGTTTGAAATATTTACATGCCGCCCTAAAGAAAACAAAGTCCTTGCAAGGAATCAGTGTTGAAATGGTCCATCCAACGGAAATGTGTATAGATTTGTTAAACAAATTTAAGGCTGTACAAAAACCACCCATCGAATTACTGGCCAATGCATTGAATGTGTGTACCGCCCTGTTGCCCTTGGCGGATGCAGAAATATTTATACGAGTTATAAACTTATCTATTTTGCCGGTAATAAGCAATGATTCTTTGGGAGATTATAAAAAATATGCCCATGGTTCGTGTTTCGATCCGCTATTAGTTGGCTTCTATTTGGTGGATGTGGAAAAGAAACGTGAAAGTTTTGAATTTTTACAAGCCTATTTAGGTTTCTTAAGAACCTATACAAAATTGCAGAGAAGAAAGTACTTTCAAGTGGAAATTCCTGGATTGATATTTTTGCTACGTGATGTTTTTCCCCACTTGCATGTATGGCGTTTTCGGTCGCAACAGGAGAAATACACTATTTATGCTGAAATTATGGGTTTTATATGTGACATATTGGACGAGTTCACAGCCCTGGAAAAAGACAAGGAATTGCCTAAAGAGCAGATTTTGTTAAGAGACATTTGCGTATATTCCATGTTGAATATGGAGAATGGTCTAATTCTTCTACGTTTCGTTGCCTTGGGGAATGCATACTTGCAACACTGCATGGAAATGGAATCGAATTGGATGGTACAACAAAGTCATGGCCTAGTGTTGTTGGTGCGACTATCCATGCGCATTTTAATGCAAGTTTTAAAATTAAAATGTACAATTTTTGAATCCACCGAATTATCTCCATTGGAGGCCATGATTTATACCCAACCCAAACAAAGAGATACATTACGCATTATACCAGTGGTGACACGTTACATGAGCAATATCTTTGACAGATGGTTGCCCATATTGTCATGTAGACTGTTGAAAAGAATAGCTTTGGAATTTAATATGTCCCTGCTGGCATGTTTGGATATGGAACCAGATCAAATACGCATGACATTCTTGCAAAAACTACCCGATGAATTGGAAAGTGATTCCATAAAGATTGCCATATTAGAATTAGTGGAATCGTGTATAGCCAAACAACCGGGTGTAACAGAAGCTTTCTTTAAGGTCAACTACAACAAGGAGAAACGTATATTTGGCAAAGAGAATGATACACAAATATCGGATAGCATTGTGACTTATATGGAAGATTATTTAGAAGCGGTTAGTAAGGACCCCCAGATTGTTGAGCAAATTTTGCCTAGTAAAATAATGAATCTGTTTCATATGCTATGGAAGCAAAATATGCAAATATTGGTTGATTCTCTGGTCCAAAAAGCAAATTTCTGGGATAAGCTATGCAAGCCTTTGTTTAGCGAATATAAATCTAATGTCAAGGCATATACCCAATTACTAAATATTTTGGGCATTGAAATATTCTCCAATCATCATAAACCCAATAGTGACTTGAAGAAGGTGGTGGCCAAACTTTTTGAGGCACCGTATTTTGAAAAATGGATTGATTTTGTATTCGATTTACCCAAGGCGGCTGTAGATAAGCCTCATGAATTTAACCCCGAAGAGATGCCGGAATGGTTGTGCCGCTTACAGGCATTTAAAAGTTTTCTTTTAATTTTGCTGAAAAAACAACCGGCATTCATGGAAATTCCCCGCAAACAATTTAAACTATTGGCGCAAAAAACTCTCAACATCTTGGTGGAGAGATCCGAATATGTGGAGGATCTAAGGCCTCTAATTATCATTTCGGAATTATATTTATTTATTATATTGGGTTTCAAACATGCATATACCGAATCTTCAGAAGAACATCGTTATACATTGAAACAACTTAATAATCTACTGGCCAAAGTGGCTGCTTGTTACAGTGACTTACATGTTAGGGCCAAAGAGGCTTGTCTCTCGATAGCCATAAAATCGGCCGATTTATTATCAGAAGAGTTGACAGAAGACTCCTCGTTGTCAATGATGTTTTTACACTCGGTTGTTAATATCATTTGTTCGGAATTACACAACCTAGAGAATTGTGTTAAAATAGAGGTCCAAAGCAAAAAGGCCTCGGAAGAACAGAAGCGCAGTTCACCGTCATCCTCAAATGCCTTGGTACTTTGTTTAAATCTATTGAAAACCATTGCTGCTATTTTCCACAATGACGGATTTGGTAACTGGGATTTGCCATTTATTACGAACAAAGTCTTCCAGCGTTTGCTTAGTTGTACTGGCTCCATACTACAGCTGCACAATAAACAACAACTCTCCGTAGAACTTTTGGACGTCCTTATCGTTTTTGCCAAAGGAAATTGTTCGGCAGAATTCTTACACTGTGATGTGGGTGATTATTTATGGCTAAAACTGTTACCACCCAAAGAGTTGTTGGAGGCCAACTATTCGTTGCAGCCCAAGGAAAGCGATTGGACTGTACACCGTTGGTGGCCCATATATGCCAGGGGCATTGAGTTGGTTACAATTCTATTCCAGAAACATTCATATCATTTTCTCAAAGAAACTTTGCAATTTGTGGGTATCCATGAGGAATATTTGGTTGACTCGCTGCTGTTGAGTAAACAATCATTGGAGCCTTCAGCTATGCGTTTGATTAAGAGCTGTGCCACATTGCTCTCCAATTTAGTGTCGTTCGAGAAACAATGGCGTTTGGAGCATTCACAATCTCTTTTCAATTTAATGGTAAGATTTAGCAGCTATATCCGGAAATTTATGATTAAAGAGTGATAATGCTTTTGTTTACAGCGATCAGTTCAAATACTCTTGAGTCATGCCATATCCATGTTCCATCAACCCAAAAACTTGAAATTACTAATTGCCGGACGTCGTTCTCAATTGGAAATCATAAGAGATTCAGAAAGTGCCGGTCTTGTAGATGAGGCCATAACAGCATTTAATGAGTGAGTTTTTTATATAAGAATACATTTTAGTTTTATTTATTATTTTTTAATCCTCTCTTCCAGTCTAACAGAAATTATCATATTGTGTGTCAAGTGCCTTCAAGCATTTACCCCCAATTTGGTTGATTTAATTTGTGAACCAGAATTTGCGGTTTTCAAATGGGAGCCCATATTTGAGATATGTTTCGGTGCCCCCAAATTAAGTGAGAATGCTGTGCATCTTACATTTGGAACTGTGCTGAGTATTGTAGGAGTTTATACAAAGGTTTTAAATTTGGTGAGTCTTTTAAGCCGACTACAAATATTTACTAGGTATTAATTCATTTACCCTTTTATTTCCAGCAAAATTATGGTTTCCATGAAGTTCCTCTCAATGTATTGCCGGAAGTAAGTCGACAGAGTGGTAGCACAGGCAGTGCTCATTCTAATATTACAAAATCACCACAAACCCACAATGTTTCGCAACGACCTTTTTCAAAATCACTTTCGGTGGCCTCTGTTTCATCGATTAGTTGTCCACCCAATGAATTGCTGTCAAATTTGGATGGTGAATTGTGTTTAGTGGCTTTGGAACATATTCTCTCACTGGCCGCTTCACAGAGTTTGTTGGCCCTAAAAAACCCCTGTCTGTCAACCCGAGAAAAACAGCTTATACGCCGAGAAATAAGTAGCGAACTATTGTCATATCATGAATTTGTTCGTAAAAAGGTTGTGGTGGACTTCAGGGAACATAATAAAATATGGCAGCGTCGTAAGCATGGACAGGTCTTAATGTTAGAAGTAGAATCCGAAAAGGAACTGAATGGCAGTGGAGCCTCGACCAGTAGTGCTGCGGCCAACCGCCTACCAGAGGTTCAACGAAAACCGCCATCTTCAGATTTAAGAGTCAATGTGGTGAGACGTTTGCATTTGCAACAGCAGCAGCAACAACGAACTCCTGGACCATCGGGAGGTTTTGAAATGTCACGCATTATTAGTCCCATTGGAAGTGGTGGTGGTGGTGCCAGTAGTAAAATACAACATCCGCCGGCTGCCTCGACACCAGCCTTATCACGCCCACCCTTACGTAGACCCGGTGATGTAAACGATGATGAATACCAAAAACGTGTGCACATCGACGACGAAGCCAGCGCCATGTTGGAATTGCAAGAGGAGGAGGAAGACATCTATTTCCCACCAGAAGAACCTAAATACAGTGCCCTCTCTTATGTACAATTTGTCGAAGAAGATTATTTACATTTTATGTCAAATCTATTCTTCGTCATTTGCCAAAATGATTAAAATTGATGAGATGAATTTTATGCTCAACTTGGTTATAATATTATGTTAATTTATAAAGTTAATAAAAAAAAAAATTATACAAAAAAATTCCACAAAAATAATGAGAATGAAAAAAGTATTGTCCGGTCGTATATGAACTACATAGGAAACACAATTCAAGGGAAATTAATGATGATGAGGATGATGACAAATATGTGTTAACTACTTTGCGGTTTATTTGCATGATTTATAAAAAAGACACGAGATCACCGTACAATTAATGTGAATATGCTCTGAGTCAATACTCAAATATTAACTTAATAAATACAGGGTGAGATAAAAAAACCTGCAACAATTTTTACATATTTTTTTTAAATTTTATTGAATGAATGCAAAAAAATTTCGGAAGTAGCATCAAATTTTAGATTAAGTTTAGATTTGTTCGAATTGGTCACCTTTGGCACGAATTAGGGCCTTGAAACCGTCACACGCTGCCCAAATGTTGCTCTGTGGTATTTTGGCCCATTCCCGGCGAAGCGCTTGCTTGAGGTGAACGACACTTTGGTATTTTTTAGTGCCAACCTTGCTTTACAAAATACTCCCGCCAAAGTAGTCCAACGGATTGGTAACCGGAGATTTTGGTGGCCATTGTGCGCTGGAAATGAAGCGAGGAACCTCATTTGTAACCATTCTTGGGTGGCGCGTGCTGAGTGCGATGGTGCTGGTGAGTCCCGTTGGAATGTCCAAGGTCTGCGGCCAAAATGTTTAATACACTCTCCAGAATATTTTCGCGATAATATTCGGCATTTATTCTGATGCCACGGTCGATCAATACGAGCGGAGAGCGACCGACCATCGGCTGTTATGGTGGCCCACAACATCACCATGGCCGGCGCTTGAGTTCTGGTGGCCAACCGAAGGTGCACATTTTCAGCTGACCTCTTTGGCAAGATCATGATAAACACAACTGGACAACGAATGTTGAATGTTGCTGGACAACGAATGTTTTCTCATCGGAGCGGAGAAAACCATATTCGGCAGTTCACCACTTTCGGCCAAGCGAAGCAACTCTTTAGCTCTTTTGTTTCCGGTGCGGTGTAAGTTCTTGCACTTTTTTCAATATTTGCCGAATGGAATATTGCGATATGTTCAGCTCACGAGTCATTTTTTGGCCACTGCGACGCGGGTTTCGATCAAGTCGCTTCTTTACTTTTCGAAGCATTTCTGCTGATGATTTTTGCTGTTTTCTTTCGACCACTTCCTTGACGTTGGGCTACGCTACCATTATCACGGTAACGAGCGGTGGTACGAGACACAAAAGATTTATTCACATTTAAATGCTGGAGTGCTCTAACGATAGCCACTTGTGGTTTTCCAGCCAAATATAAAGAAATCACACTATTACGCCTGAATTCCATCACGAATAATTTTTTTTGTGGAAAATTCCCACCATAATGCTTTTGTGCGCTTGTAAACAATATAATGAGCTGTCACTGGAATAATTTTAACAGTTGTCGGACGAGTGGCAGAAGTCTAAAGTTGGTTGCAGTTTTTCATGTCACCCTGTACATACGAATGCCATCATCATATGTCTCTAATGTGAACATATTTCGTCAATGAATGAAATAAACATTCCATTGAAGATATTTGGCAGAAAATATCCAATCACTATTTTGAAGGGTTACCATGAAAAGGCCAACGTACTATCACATTCTGAAGGATATGGAAATAGTCACATAAGAACCACTTTCAATCATTTTTTTGATAAATTCCACATAATGCGAAGAAGTCTGTCAGGTTCGACATTTTTAAATTCATTTTTTAATTTTTAAAATTGTTTTTCTTTTCTCCGTGGCCATGAACTGCGGAATATGCAAAATTTTATGTACATACAAATATATACAAATTTAAAAATGTTTTCTTTATAATAAGTAAAAAAGCGAGCCCCCTTTTTTGTTTTATATACCTATGTGTGTATATTTATTTATTTTTATAAAATAATACATTCCATTTATTTTAATACCAGAAGAGCAGATGTGCTTTGCTTTGTTAGAAATGTAGCAAAAAATTTATATCGATTATGCCTACATATATGTATTAATGCCTGTTTTGTTTTATATTATATACTAATATCAACAGATTTTGACAGTAATTTTGTTAATTTTTTTGTGCGAAACATCTTAATAGGTTACTAGATTTGTTGTGCTTTCTCATTTATTTCCACTTCTAATGGGGCCGCCATGTGTTCTATGTATGAGTGTGTGAGTGTGAGAGAGAAAACTTAAGAGTTAAAGAGCCACATTAAGGGATTATGTCGTTTGGAGAGCTCTAACAACCACCCCTGAAATTAATGATACAGTTGAACATGGTTATGATGACTCATTGCGAGCTGAATATGTGATTCATGATTTGACAGGAAAATATATATATATTTAAAGGAAAAGGTTTCTATTGTTACCATATAGGTCCCGATGCTACATATAGATTAGTGGATTTAAATTGGTACATCCAATATATACCCATAAAGCGCGTTAACCCAGCAAAAAGCTCTAATGTAAACGTACTATAAAAGCCCATAATTATTTAAGGCTTCATCAGAAGATATTTTTATACCCTCCACCATAGTATGAAGGATATAATAAGTTTGTAACACCTCGAAATATACACAAGGTATATATTCTTGATCAGCACAAAATTCTATGTCGATTTAGCGATGTCCGTCCTTCTGAGGAAATCACCTTACCTTCCGAACGAAATGAAGTAGGTTGATAAAATTTTACACAAATGTATATTTTGTCTACACGACTTTTAGTATTGAAAATGGGCCATGTAGCCCCCATATAAGGGAATCTCCCGACGATTTTAGTGACATTATTTTCCGAAATTGTTTCAAATTTGGTTTTTAAAGTTCGTATTGGATACTACAGCCTATATGACAGAAATTTGTTCGCGCTGGTCCACGCCTTCGTATGGCCTCCTTATAGTGGCACCTCCTGATATTCGGCATTTTGATGATTTTAGCGACATTATTCACCGGAATTGTTTCAAATTTGGTATTTGAAGTACGTAATAGATACTTCAGCCTATGATAGAAAATTGTTTGTGCAGGTCCACGTCTTCGTATAGCTCCCATATAATGGTACCTCCCTATATTCGGTACTTTTTTATTTATTCACCGAAATTGTTTCAAATTTGGTGTTTGAAGGTCTATGACAGAAAATTGTCTGTGCGGGTCCATGTCTTCGTATAGCCCCCATATAAGGGTACACCCCATATTCGGTATGTTGATGATTTTAGCGGCATTATTCACCGGAATTATTTCAAATTTACTATTTGCAGTTCGTAATGGATACTACGGTCTATAACAGAAAATTGTGCAGGTCCACGTCTTCGTAGAGCCCCCATATCACGGCACCACCCGATCTTCGGTATTTTGATGATTTTAGCGACATTATGCACCTGAATTGTTTCAAATTTGGCATTTGAAGTTCGATAGTTCAGCCTATGACAGAAAATTGCCTGTGCAGGTTCACGTTTTGGTATAGCCCCCATATAACGGTACCTCCCTATATTCGGCATTTTGACGATTTTAGCATTATTTACTGATTTTTTTCAAGTTTCGCATTTGAGTATTGTGATGGCTTATGACAAAAGTTGCCTATGTAGATCCAGGTCGTCGTATAGACACTAATATTATTATGTTATGTTGCAGTTATTATTATATGGTTTTTATTATTATTTAATTAATTTATTTTTTTTTTTCAAATCAAATCTTCATTTTTTATGAAAATGGAAAAAAATCGTTCTTGTCATTAAGCAAATCCCATTATTAGCCAGCAATCGTGTTTCATCATAAACATGTTTAACTGTACAAACGCGACGCTCTCATATCTCCCCAAATAGAAAGAGCAAGAAAAAGAAGAAGCTCAATTTTTTTGGGGAGAAAAAGTACGGTTAGGTGTTGTTGTTGCTGTTGGTAGGTATATGTTTGAGTTTGTTATAAATTCAGCTACTCAAAGGCAAACAACATAGCCAAGATAATACCAACCAACAAAATTCGGTTGCTGTTGTTTTTGTTGTTGCTGTTGCCATTGGAGGAAATACCATTTCTTTTACTCTTAAGAGCTTCATTTTGCTACCTTTGGTTTCAGTAGCCTGTGAGTAATCATCCAATACATACGTTTGCAAAAGAGCTCCACCGAAAGAAAAAAAAAAACTAGAAAACGAAAACGGCACGGAATTGTTTTAACACAAAAGTAGAAGAAGAAGCGTTTCTAAGAAACAAAAAAGAAACCAAAGACTGATACAGAATTTTTTTAATTTTGAATTAAAAAAAAGAGTAATCAAAAAACCTTAAAAAATATTTAATTGGAACATTTTTCTTCATCGGTTTGTGTTGGAAAAGAGAATGTTTAAAAGTTCTTCGTCATTGTCAATTAAACAATTGTGGTTGTTGGGCAGCACTCTTACCAAGCCGAAAGTTACAAGTTTTAATGGCCGCTTGTCTGGTGGTAAACGCTTTAAAGCAACTGCTTTAAATCTAGCCGAAAATTTGGACGAATCGAAAGCGAATAGTGACAGTGCTACAAGTAGTGTGGTGGACAAAGTGCCACCAATTGCAACGGCCACAACAGCAACTGATGTCGATGCTAGCCTAGATAGTCGCAAGAAATTTGGTCATACCGGAAAATTGTTGCAGGACAAAATCAAAGCTGAGGTAAGTGCAATGGGATGGGGTGGTACTATAAATTGACGTAAATCATGCAAACATTGTGGGTGGTCTTGGTGTGTATGTGCGTGTAGTAAGTCGTTTTTTTTGTTGGTACTCAACTTGTTGTTGTTATTTTAGTGGGAGTTATTGATTTTTTTCTTTTCGGGCCATAGTCACCCTGTGTATGACACAATCACTACTCCATGAGAATTTTCATTCATGAATTTCATGGATACGAAGGAAACGGAAATGCCAAGCTTTTGATAACATAAACCTCTTAAATGAGCTATAAATCTAGTAATTTCTCATGAAAGCAAATCGACATAATCATATAGGGATTTGGAAAACAATTCCAAGGCGTGGGAGTATGTGAACTTTTCCAAATGGAATATGAAAATATATTTGAAAAAAGCAGAAAAAATGACCAGCATCTCTTGATTGTGTACAATGGTAGAAGAATACAGGTAGACGCATCGACACAGGTGACGGGACAATGAACTGTCAAACCAATTTTGGAATTGAAAATATTTAAGAAAACTCATTCAAATTTGTAAAAATTGTTGAAAAACGCATATTATAATGACCTCCGATTAAGTCTTATAAGAAATCCTTTAAAAATCTTCTTATATTTGAAAAAAAAACGTTTTAAAAACATACCAATGTTCTCAAGCGTATGTACTGGCTTTGATTTAACATTCCTAAATGAATGTTCCTACATTTAAGCAGTTCCTAAAAATATCCTTACTATTGTTTAAATGAATTGCATTTGGGAAGACTTAGAGTTAACAAAACCAAAAAAGTAGGTCGATGACTAAGAGGTGGATTCTCAGATATGCTGAATTTGGGCCAAATGATGGAATTTATACCCTACACCATATATTGGTAAGGGTATTATGTCTTTGTGCATTTGTTTGTAACATGGAAAAGGAAGCGAGATAGACCCATAGATACTTTTGAGGATCTTCATAGATTCGATTTATGTATGTCCGTCCGTCCGTCCGTCTGGTTGCATCTATTACCCGATTGAGCCCAAGGACGAACCGTATTGAAATCGGTGAGAAACGGCTCATATTTAGATATAGGTCCCATATATATCTTCAAACGATTTCGGGTTAATTGTGCACCAAAATGACCAATATCACTCCAAATGATCTGAAATTTGGCATATCCGACCGTATTCAGTCAAGATGCAGGTACCTCAAAATTGATGAAAATCGGTGCAAATATAGCTATAGCTACCATATACATGTGTTTCATCCGATTTAGCGTTTAAATCCCTGACATTCGTAATATACACTCCAAAAGAATGATATTTGATACAGAGCATAAGATGCTGCTCAGAAATAACTGCCAAATTTTATCACGATCGGTTCAGATTTGGATATTGCTTCCATATATACCTTTATCTGATTTCAGATTTATTTTGCACCAAATGACCAGCTCAGATTTTTATGTAGCTCCGATATACATCTTCATTCGATTTTATGGCTATTTTTCACCATTTATGTAATATCACACCAAATTGGATAGATTTCCACCATAGCGATGTCCGTCCGTCTATCCGTCTGTGAAAATCACTCTAGCTTCCGAACGAATGAAATAGGTTGATAAAATTTTGCTCAAATGTATATTATGTCTGCAGGACTTTTGGTATTGAAAATTGGCCAGGTAGATCCACGTTTTGGTATAGCCCCGGTATTTTGATGATTTTAGCGACATTGTTCATCGGAATTGTTTCAAATTTGGTATTTTAAGTTCGCAAAGGATACTACAGCGTATGACAGAAAATTGTCTGTGCAGGTCAACGTCTTCGTATAGCCCTCATATAATGGCACCTCCCGATATTCGCGATTTTGATGATTTTAGCGACATTATTCACCGGAATTGTTTCAAATTTCGCATTTAAAGGTCGTAATGGAAACTACAGCCTATGACAGAAAATTGTCTGTGCAGGTCCACGTCTTCGTATAGCCCCCATAAAATGGTACCTGCCTATTTTCGATATTTTACTGATTTAAGCGACATTACTTAGCGGAAATGTTTCAAATTTTGTGTTTGAAGATCCTTATGAGAACTACAGCCTTGCCTAAGCAGGTCTTCGTATAGCCCCTTAATATCAGTACTTCCCTATATTCGGTATTTTGATGATTTTAGGTACATTATTTCGTATTTCTACTTCGTAATGGGTACTACAGCCTGTGACAGAAAATTGCATGTCCACGTATTCGTATAGACCCCAAAAGACCGGTAACTCCCTGTATACGGTATTTTTGAGATATTGGCAGAATTTATAACGATTTAAATTTTTTAATTATTATTATTTTTTTTTTTTTTTTTTGAAAATTTCCAAAATGTCCAAATTGTGGATGGTATTCAAAGTTCGGCCTGGACGAATTTACAGCGTTTTTCCTTGTTTAGTCTTTAATGAAGTAGAATTGTGTACCATTTTGGGTGTCACCAGATTCCAAGACTATTTTTTGAAAATATTTTTAGCTTGTCTATGAAATTCCGATGCGAAGATTGCATTGTTAACTTGTTTGTTTATATTTTTAGTAGATTGTCATCTCTTGCCAAGACGCAAATGCTGAGTGAGCATTTTTGCTGTATGACAAATAATGAATGGAATCCACAGTTTTGCCACTGTCAGCAAATATGTGCCAATCAATGTGCGAATTGTGTGTGCGTGTGTCTGCTTTTTTATTTCATAATGCAAAAAACAGCAATTTTGAATATCTTTGATTTATTTATACGCAAAACCATAGAGTTATATTTACTTTCCGTTTACTTCCTGTTCGCATCAATCAAAATTGCTTCGTAGAGTATCGGCCACTACCATCATTAAATGATCATTAAATGTCAATATTATTTGTTTTGAGATTGGTCGTAGTGGTGGTGCAAAGGTAAACAATTGAAATGGTAGCTATTTTTAGACTTATTTTGATGGATGTTTGTGATTTGGAGTTTATTGATTTGTCAGCCACAATTTGGAAATAAAATAATTAGATTTAAAGAAAACATTCAAGATATGTATGTAGGCACTTTATGAATCAATGGATGTGTGTTTTGGGAGATGAAAAAAAAAAAACGTGACATGGATATAACTCTTTATTTTATAGCCTCTATCGTAGTATACACTCCAAAAGAATGATATTTGGTACCAGATATCAGATACAGCACAGAAATACCTCTGCCAAATTTTAACAAGATCTGTTCAGATCTTATTTTATATAACCGATTTCGGGTTAATTGTGCACCAAATAGCCAATATCATTCCAAAAGACCTGAATTTTGGCACATCTGATCGAATTCAGACTAGAAGCAAGTATATCAAAATCGGTGAAAATCGGTTCAGATATAGCTATAACTACCATACATGTGTTTCATCTGATTTTGTGTTTAAGTCCCTCATATTCCTAATATACAATCCAAAATTATGATATTTGGTACCAGATGCAGCCCAGAAATACCTCTGCCAAATTTTATCAAGATCGGTTCAGATTTGGATATAGCTCCCATATATACCTCTATACGATTTCAGGTTTATTGTGCACCAAATGGCTAATATCAGCCCAAATGGAGTGAATTGTTGAACTTCCGACCGAATACAGCCTACGAAGAATTACTTCAGATTTTGAGAAAATCGATTCAGATATATCTATAGCTCCCATATATATGTTTCATTGGATTTGGTGGTAAAGTCCCTCACATGCGTAATATGCACTCCTCAACAATGATATTTGATACCGAACATCAGATACAGCATAGATTTTTATGATGCAGAGTGGAATATAGTAGTATGCAGGGTCATTCCGTTTGTAACTCCCCAAAATATACATTTCGGACAACTTTGTGTATTCTTGATCAGCACAAGTTTCTATAGCGATTTAGCTATGTCCATCTGAAAAATCATTTTAGGTTCCGAGCAAAACGAGTTTACTTAGTTTACTTAGATGTGTTTTAAGACTTTTTGGCATTGGAAAGGGTTCACGTTTAGCCATTTTACTGTTCCCATAGATATAAGATTTTTGGGTGTATTATTCAAAATATTATACCGATTTCGGGAAGTTGTGTTCGCAGTATCTAGAAAACGTAGAGAGAGCTGTACACGTAGGCCCAATTTCTGGTATAGACCCCATATAACTGTACCTCGGTATAGTTCGGTATTGTGATGACCTGCGTCACACCTTTCACTGGAATTGTTTCAAATCTGGTATTTTGAGTTTGTAATGGGTACTATTTTCCCTGACAGAAATTGCGCTTACACAGGTCCACGTCATGGTATAGCTCCCATACAACTATAACCCCCTAAATTAGCTCCATTTTTCACATAAATTATTTCAATTTTGGAATTGAGAGATCGATATTTTCGCAATTTTTCGTGAATTTTTCAAAGAAATTACCTCAAAATTGTTTTTTGGAATTCGTAATGGCCTACTTTGGCTGAAATTTCCCACATTGGTACCACCCAATATGCCGAATTTAGATAATTTTTCAGACATTTTCATTGATTTTTTTTGGAAATTTATAAGTTTTTTCTAAATGTTCACCTTGTCGGAAATCCGTATCTGATTTCCTAGTACACAAATAAATTAGCGATCAAATTTTCAAAAAAAAAAAAATAATAATAATAATAAAAAAATCTGAATTTATTTAAAATAAAAATCAAACTAATTTTTGCAAGTACTACCTCCTATGAAAAAAATTGCCATGCCACATCCTGGTATATCCCCACAGAACGGCAACTCCTAATATTCGATATTTTAACGATTTTTCGTGAATTTTTCAACGAAATTACTTCAAAATTGGGTTTTGGACTTCGCAATTGGCCTTCTTTTCTGATAATTATCAGCCGATATACTGTATTCTAATATTTTTTCAGGCATTTCCAACGATTTTTTTTTAAAGACTTGATGGTTTCTTCCAAATGTTGTAGTGTATTAAAAGTTTCGCCCGGTTGAAATTAGCTGATTTTTCATTTGTTATACCCTCAGCCATATTTCCACAGT